ATGCAGGGTCTTGCGGATGGTCCCGTCAAGACTCACCTGTTCCGGCTTGAACTAGATTCACTAGAACAAGCCATTTCCATTGCGGAGCAGGAAGACTTCAGTCTGAGACAGGCTCGCGCCAGCTCGACATCATATCGTCAACCGAGACGATGTGACAACGGAGGTCCAGAGCCGATGAAACTCTGTTATGTAGAGATCTAGAAGGCTCGCTCTACAGACTACAAGAAGTTGCAGAGATGCAACAGATGTCAAAAGACAGGACACTACGCTTACGAGTGTAGTGCCCCTCGTCCAGTGTCTCGCGACACTGGGCGTAATGACCGTTCACCCATGAGAAAGGGGCAGGGACGCGGGTCCGCTGTTGGCGCAAAGACGCAACAACGGGATGGATTGTCAAAAAACGGACAGGATCAGTAGGTGCGGAGCACCGTACTGGTCCAGCAACGTCAAGAGAATTTGTAGGCCTCTTGATGAAGGTTGCTCCCAACACACAAACGTTGTGCGTTGCTGCTCTAGGTAATGAGGTCTCACTCATTACCTTGAAACTCGAAGTGACGAATAAGTTGTCCCTTCGAGCTCTAGTCGATTGTGGGGCGTCCAACAATTTTGTGCGACGCCAATCGCTAGAAGATGGTCACTTTAAGTTTCAGTGAATGTGACACACCTCCTACGAGGATGACGGTACGTCTTGCGACAGGCGCATCCGTAACCGTCATGAAGCGTATAGTGAAGATTCACTATACGCTAGAAGATACCCAATATGACGATGACTTTATCGTATTGGATTTGGATGACAAATTTGATGTCATCCTTGGAATACCGTGGCTCAGAAGGTACGAACCACGGGTAAACTGGCAACATCGAACAGTAACGATGCCTGCCGCTTGTTCATCAGATGGCCATCTGATGAACGTTTTGGAGCGTCCACAAGCGTGTGGATGTACTACGAGTGAGTGCGATGGCCTCACTTGTGGTACGGTCGTTAGTACGACTGCACAAAACCTTAGTGTACCAAACGGTTACACTTCGGAGCAAAGTTCCGGCGGCTGTGAGGAAGCACAGGCTGCGCCGAAGGTCCACCACTCGAATAAGTCGGGTGGACTGGGACAAAGATGTATCCCTAGCGGGGAACATCTAGAAGAGAAACAATCGATCGCTCAGGTTAAGCGAAACGATAATCATAGATCGACTGGAGAGTCTTTCGTAGAGGATCTCGCTGTGTTCGCGCAACCCCAGCTAGAGGAAGTAAAGGGAATAAGTCCCAAGATTACAAATACGGCGGTTATAAGTTCCCCGAAACCCGCGGGAATAAGTCCCCGGGAAGCCGAAGGAGTAAGTCCTTCGAAGCCTGAGGGAATAAGTCCCCAGGAAATGACAGAGACATTGAATGTCATAGTCAATAAAGGGTCAAGTGTAGGCGCTTATACACTTGATCTGATTGCGCCTCCGAAGTTGACTTCGGAGATCACTCAGTTGCCAACGCTCGAACATAAAAGGTTCTTGCGTGATCTGTGTAGTGGCAAATTCAAGCAGATCTGCGTACTCGTCGCTGACGACGAGTGTGTAACCGACATAAGGTCAGCAACAGTGTTTACTGAGAACGAGAGAGTTCTCAGTAGTTCATCTACGGACGAGAGTGTCCTAGATGAAAAGACACGAATTGAGCGATATGACTCCCAATCGTGGGAATCGCTCAAGACAAATCCTCTCTACGAAGATTTGGTTGAATTCAAGGATGTATTCCCTGAAACTGTTCCGTGCGAATTACCGAAGGATAAAGGTATTCGACACGAAGTCGAGCTTAAACCAGGCTCGAAGTACTGTGTCATGAAGCAGTGGCCACTGCCTCGTGAACAAGTACTTGCGATCGACAAGTTCTTTGCCGATCGTTTAGCTGCGGGCCATGTGAGGGAATCAACTTCCCCACATAGCTCTCCGACCTTCTGTGTGCGAAAAGCAACAGGAGGGTGGCGGATAGTGCACGCGTTTAACAAATTGAACGCTGCAACGGTACCGGCTCAGACGCCGATACCGAGGAAGGACGTAATCATTGATGGTATGTCAAAGAGTACCATCTTTTCGTCCATGGATTTGATGGATGGCTTCTATCAAATCCTAATGCGGGAACGGGATATACCCTATACCGCAGTTAGCACGCCTAGCGGCATGCTCTGGGAATGGCTAGTAATGCCACAAGGGCTTAGTAATGCCCCTGCCACGTTTAACAGATGTGTATCACATCTGTTGAGACCAGTACGAGAATTCGCGCCGAGTTATTTCGATGACGTATTCATTCATAGCCGAGATATGGATGGAAAGTCGGACGTTGAGGTTCACAGGTACCACGTCCGACAAGCTCTTACAATCATGCGAAAGCATCAATTGTATGCAAACCTCACAATGTGTATATTTGCAGCAAGCAAAATACCACTTCTTGGGTGCATCGTTGGTAAGAACGGTGTACGTCCTGATCCCGAAAAGATCAAGGCGATCACCGACTGGCCTGTGCCGGTTGATGTCAAAGGTCTGCGAAAATTCCTTGGGCTAGCGGCGTATTTGCATAAGTATTCACGCAATTACGCCGAGATGACGGTACACCTCTCTCGTTTGTTAAAAAGAACGAGAGGTGGTTATGGAACGCTGAATGTCAGCGCTCGTTTGATAATATCAAGCAGAGCTTGATACAATCCCCAGTCCTAGCAATAGCCGATCAGGACAGGCCATTTCATGTGGTCTGTAATACCAGCGATTTCGCAATCGGCTGTGCATAAATGCAGTACGATCTTGAAGGCGTTGAACGCGTCGTCTACTATCAGTCGCGTCAGCTGCAACCAGCTGAGCGGAACTATCCATTGCATGACAAGGAACTTCTTGCCATGAAGTATGCACTCGCGAAGTTCAGAGTCTATCTATTAGGAGATAGACCTTCATTGTTTACACTGACCATGCGTCATTACGCACGGCAGTGAACAGCCCGCACCTTTCACAACGAATGGCGCGGTGGTTGTCATTATTTGCAGAATACAACTTTACGGTCGAGTACAAACCAGGACGACTTAATGTCGTCGCTGATGCACTCTCACGTCGGCCCGACTTTGAAACAGTCGCGAAACCCAACAGTGAGACAGTCACTGTTGCGGTTATGACGTCCTCAGTACCATCTTCAACGTTGCATGATGATGTGAGGCGGCCATACGCCCAAGATAGTGAGATTGTGAAGTTGTTGACACATCTCTCACAGCCTTCTCGAGAATCATTGAAACGATTGTCGCCTGCGTATCGATCTGCATCAGATCGATACACTACTCGCAACGGTTTACTGTATTATACAGCCGTTTCTGGTGACACACCACGTGTTGTCATTCCAGATGATACTGATCTGCGTTTGCGGATCATGTTCGAGTATCACGATGCTCCTATAGGAGGACATCGTGGCCGAGAGAAAACATATCTCACGGTAAGTCGAGACTTTTACTGGCCCCGCCAGTATCAGTTTGTGCGAAAGTATGTTCGCGCATGTGAAGTCCGCCAACGAGTGAAGTCAAGTCCTTCACTGCGTGCACCTTTACAGCCTCTACCGGTTCCGGCTGAGTGCTGGGAATCCATCTCAATGGATTTCGTCTTCGGGTTACCCAAAGACGCACGCGGGAATACGGGTATTCTCGTGTTTGTTGACAGATTCAGCAAAATAGTACACCTCGTGGCTGTACCCGAGTCAATCACGGCAAGTGGCTGTGCTTGTGTCTTTATTGACACCATCTTCCGACTTCATGGGTTGCCCCGTGAACTCGTATCAGACAGAGATCTACGCGTCACTGCTGATTTCTGGCGTTCCGTGTTCAAATCACTCGGAACGCGCTTGAAGATGTCGACATCTGATCATCCAGAGTCCGATGGTCAGACGGAACGTGCCAATCGTGTCCTTGAAGAGATAATTCGAGGATACGTACACTCCTTTAAGAGTTGGAGTGAGTTTTTGCCAATGGTAGAGTTTGCCATCAACAACTCGGTACATGCGTCCACGACACATACACCGTTTTACGTGAATGGCTTACGCCGTCCGCGTGTACCCACCTTACTAGAGTGTAACTCTGGTTTAAGGGGGGGAGGGACTCGCGCGAGCAAAAACCGATTTGGTTCACGCTCATCACGCTCTGACGAAGAGGTCATTGCGTTTGATGCTGATATCGATAACATCGATATCGAAGACAATGATCCCAGTGAGAGTGCGGAAGCCCTCACTGAAGAAAAGGTTGTTGTCGCTGCAGTGCGCTCACAGCACACTGAAGCTAACGAGTCATCAGATGAGTTCATACTGGCTCGTGAAACGGTAGTCCGTTTTGTGCAAGAATCCATCGCCGAAGCGGTGGATAAGCAAAAGCAAAACGCTGACAAGAATGGAAGGGCAAACACTCTTTTATTTAATAAAGGTGACTTAGTCCTACTGTCTACGGTTAATCTACCAAAGCATGTAGTGAATAACTTGGGTAGCAGTAAACTACTACCCAAGTACATCAGCCCATTTCGTGTATTGCATCGCCTAGGCAACGCATACACGATCGAACTGCCACGTAAGATGCGAACGCATCCCACGTTTTACGTTGGTCGGCTTAAGCCGTACCATCAGTACGCTGCTTCTTCCGATGAAGAACGCCCTTGCGCTCAAGCATCTCGGAGAGAGCCTTGTGCTCCCGATGGTGGGCATCAACAAGGGTCTGAAGAGCAGCTACCTCATCCCGAGACCGATCAACAATCCCACGAGCTACCCTTAGCTCGTCACGAAGAGATGTCAGAGCTCTCTCGTTCTCAAGCTGAGCAAATTCAAACTCAGCTCGATGCTTCGAGGCAGTGTCCGCCATTTGGAGACGCCTATTCCGCTCATGTTCGAGATCGTCGCGTAACCCTTGCGTTACGCGATCAAAGAAGCTCTCGGGAACACACCGATCCACATGATCGTGTGGAGAGCGTCTTTCCTCCTCCTCCACCTCCATTAGAGGACTCTAGCGGTGGCCAGCGCTATCTAGTTGAGCAGCTGTTGAACCACCGCGACGTGAACGGACGTCGGACGAGTTATCTCGTCCGGTGGCGCGGCTATCCCCCGTCCTGGGATTCCTGGGAGCCCCGCTCCCAACTGATGATCGACGTACTGGGTCTGGTTGAGCAGTACGACGCGGCACATCCTGTGCCGCAGAAGGACCGCCGGAGAAAGTCTCCCCGGCACGGTCGTAAAGGGATTTCAGATTGTCAATCCCTTCGTACATCTCAATAGAGATACGTACGCACCACCAAGGGCTAGTAAGGAGGTAAGCCTCCTTAGGTGCTCGTGCAGAGTTGTTCACACAACATGGGCACGAGTCTCCCCAAGAGAGGCAGGGTAATCCTTTCTCCCTTGACAGACGATGCAGCTTGTAGCGTGCAACTGTCAGGGTTATTTTCTCAAACTTATCACGAGCTTTGATAAGTTTGTCGTTCCAAGCGTCACGACCTACATCCTCAAGGTTATAGATGCAGGCGTTCCACGCTTGAGTCAGTGAGGGACCATCACGCTTGTGATTCCCACTGTACCATCGATGTTTAACGAAAGCATCGATGAAGAATTCATGTTCAGCGCGATAGTTTTTCGCACTGGGGTCAAGGTGATGGATCCTTGACGAATCGAACAACCGTGTTCGATAACGATCACTTGTCGTCACCGACAAGTGATCCATGACTGATTTTGGAGGCATCCATGCCTTCTTCTCAGGAGCGAGACGCAACACATTGCGGTCCCGCTCTTCCTGCGATGTGCCGGCAGAAGTACTGGCACCTCGTTGCGAAGTGGTGTCCATAGGAGAACCGACACCACTGTTAGCGCCCGAGTCTCGCGACCTCGAGCGCCTACGCTTCGGCGATGGTTCATTTGATTCATCAGATGAACCAAAGATGCTACGACGCAAAGCATCATCCATGCCACGCTTGGCAGGCGGCTTGGATTCGATCGCCGTCGATACGGAACTGTGGTGAAGTCGATCTCACAAAATTGCTTGTATGAGTGTCGATCCTTCACTTGCCCAGACTTGCCGACTCACGGAGGGGGTACTCCGATCCGTGCCTTGTTGTATGACCTTGTGCTCACCTTGTGTACCCGTCGGTTGGGCTGGCTTGAGCTCTTCGTAACGGCCTTGGGAGATGTCGATCTCGCTGAGAGGTTGGGTTGAGGGTTCGCTTCCGGTGCGGAAATCTTCACACCACGAACGGGGGTTCTGCGATCCCGATCTTGGATCGCACCGATCTTGATTTGTCTTCGAGATCGGGGTCTTTGCTGTGCGGAAATCTTCACTCAGCAAATAAAAGTCCTGCGTCGATCTTGCCTTGGGATCGGTCCGATCTGGTCTTGGGATCGGCCGATCTTGCCGGAAGTGCGCAATTTGGGTAGATCGGTGTCTTGTTTCTCCAAAATGAAACGTGCCGATCTGTCCAGGGGATCGCTTCGATCCTGCTCGGTCTTGTCTTGAACGCCTTGTCCAGATCTTCTGACCACTTGAGCCGTCTCGCGATCCTGTGTCCAAAATCCTTTTCCTTTTCCGTTGTGTGCTGCTACCCTAGCAGTTGAGTTGAGTGTGAGTACTTGATCGATCCGGGCCAGATATCCCGGGATCGCTCTTCTCGATCTTGGCCAACAATCCAAGATCGGTCTTCTGTGTCCCTGTAACACGCGTGCCTTAACCCGCCGGGGAAGCCAAATCAATCTTGCCTGGAGAAGAGGGGAGGATTACGTGCATCGTGAGCAGAAGAAGTAGAGTTCAAGTCTGTTTATTAACCAACCAAATTACTATCCAAACTACCCTTAAGCCTATTCTTAACTATAGGTCACTCTTCAAACCGATATCGCCTTGAATCTGGTTCTCCCCCTTGCCACGTGTCGAAATTTCGTGCCCTGTACTCCAATGATAGCGCCAATATCCCCGATATCGTACCTAGAGCACCAAATGGACCAAAATCTCCTATATGGTACCAAATACCCATTCTTGGCACCCAAGTACCCAATATATGACCCAAAATGCCGAATGTGTCCAAATTCACTTTGCGACGTCAATTCGGACAGCTTCCACTGGCTCTTTCGGCATGAAACTTCTTGACATCACTTAGTGACCTCTATCAAGTATATTCCACATGATCCAGTATCTTCATCAACCATATATTCATGATCAGTGTGGAACATGACCGATCTGTCATCCAATATCGAGATGTTGGAGGTCGATCCGGTCTAAATCGGCAATTAACACTTTTTCATCTCCTCATACGTGCTTCAATATCATCCTCCAGTGTTATCCAATCGACAACTTCATTCATACGTCTCGACATCGGTTTCCTTGACTCCCCTGAGTATGCAAAACTTCCAGATCGGTGTATAGTTAACCAAAATCAGTACTCCCAATTTAGGATCGGTAAAGAGTATCACCGATCCGTATGGTGTTGCACCTTCTTTGCCGATTCACCGACCCGTACCACCTGGTCCCAGATGCACTTTGGGGAGTCACCTTGTCCCAGATGTGTCAATTCTCCAACAAACCGTTGCCACAACATGTCGATCTGCGATCTGATCTTAGCCTGCTTCAATGTACGTATACTTCTTCTTGACCGGCATTCCAATGAGCTGTATGACTTCATCCCGATGTCTGGTTCCAGATCGCCCCATAACATTCTGCAAGATGTTACACCTTCGTCGCAGAGTCATATCCCATCACCCGGTCCCAGATCCTTGTCCCAGATTGTTCCATGTAAATCGTTCCAGATCGCTCCGTCCCAGGTCGATCCATACCCATTAGTCGAACGACGGTTGGATCGGTTCGCTGATCCCGTTAAGATCATCTTCCACCTCCGTATTGGATCGCCGAGTCTCATGGCCTCCTTTTCCACCAGTAAGCGGCGCTTTAAAGGTGTGGCCACCGATCCTCGTACAAAATTTGAGTAGTGACTTTGCCACAACCGCCCCCTGTACTGAAGTCTTTTGTACAGCAATTGACCTCAGTACAGTCACTCATCAACTTCGTTCCAAGCACTCCAGTCCGTCTCATGGCCTCTCCGACGCATCCACCCACCTCGCCGATCTCTTCAGAAGGATCCACCATGTTTCTGTCTCCGGATCGCGACCTGTCGCCCGGATTGCCCGATCTCGGAGGACACACCTCAGCGGTCCCCGATCGGCCTGGGTCTCCGCGCCATCTAGGCCCAACCGGATCGCCCACAATTCCCACGGGATCGCTAGATCGACAGCCGACCAGACCCTCGTCTCCATCCCGAGACTCGCCATCTAGATCGCCGGATCGCGGGTGGTATGCTCCTATCGTCCCAGATCAACATGAGTCTCTCAGTAATCCCAGATCGGTCGGATCGCTCTCGACCGACGCGGAATTATCAGATCGTTCCTCCGAGCCATTCCCGCTTCCCACTCCTCCGGCGGCCTTAGATGCGTCCAGATCCGACATCTCGGCCGCTAATGAATCTCGTGAAAGGTCTGCTGCAGCTGTGGGCGTCACCGACTTCGTTCCCAGAGTTTCTGCCGACGACGTTCGTCTCACGATGGCCACGATCTCGTATTTGTGGGATCGAGAGGCTACCTTCTGCAGCCAAGCCGACACCATTCATGCGCTTCAGCAGTCCTACCGAGATGCCGTCGCCCGGGGGGATCGCTTACAAGACGAGCTTGATTCGCTGTACAGATCAGCCGTCCCTTTTATCTCCTTCGTCCAGCGTCGATATGAATGGATGCAGGGCCGCTACGTCGACGCAGTGCATTCTTTGAGTGATTGCAATCGAGCTCTGCGGGCATATCGAGATCAATCGGAGGAGATTCGTCGGCTACGCACTTTGATACGTGCCAACGACGAGGCTCAGGGGAACTTGGACCACAGGTGGATGCTTTGAGGGCTCAACTTCATTTGCTCCAAGCCGAACTCAATTCTCTCCGACAGCAGCGTGATCAGCTGACCACGGACAGGTCCTTCCTTCACATAGATATTTTGCACTTAAATGAGCAATTGGCTCAGTCTCAGGAGGAGATCGCAGATGGACTGTCTTCGATCAGCGATCTCATACAACAAGTGGATGGTTTGACTTCCCTAGAGGGTCAGTTGGCACTTTCGCAGGCGGAGAACGCCAACCTACGTCGTCAGCTTGCGGAACACCTTGAGATATACGACCAGTTGCAGGTGCTGGAGCATGATCGGGATCGGGCTATAGCTGAACACCGTGCTCTCCTCGACACACTGAACAGTGCTATACTCGGATCCCGGTCGTCTGCGTTGACCGCTCGATCGACGCCTAAGAGTGCTACTCCGGTCGGATCGCCCCCTGCTCCCACTACCCCGGGATCGAGATCGCTTGCCCGTAGGTCCAGATCGAGATCGTCCGGCCCGCCTGCCAAGCGTTGGCGTATTCAATCAAGGTCACGATCCAGTGATTCTTTCACCGCCCGTGTGGCCTACCGGCTATTGTCGTTGAACCCTTCAATGCCTTTAAACAAACTTCCCAGATTGTCCCCACCCGAGCCTCCACCCAATTCTTCTTGTTCTCCGCTTTCGTCCGCGGCTTCTGGGACTGGATCGGGAAGTGAGGAGCTGACCGAGTCGGATTCTAGCTCGATGAATTTGACTCGTGCTGCATTATCCCAATCGAGATCGGCCGCTCGTCGCCAACCTAGATCGGATGCCCGATCTTCGACCCCGAACCCCTCTCCGGCCGCTCGGGTTGTTCCCGCTTCTCCCGCAGCTACTGCGTTGGCTCAAGCACTGTTGCGTTCGCCTTCTCCAGACGTTCCGAAGCCTCGTTATCTTTCGTACCCATCCACTCCGGTCGCGGCTGTCCTCGTAGTCAGAATTCAAGATAATGGCGGCGTAGAAGACGTGGAGGTATCGCCGACAGGGGAGACACACAGCGAGACTGGCCAAGTTAGTCCGCCTCCGGAGTCCACTGCGCTTTCGGATCGCCATTCGTCCGATAGCGAAAACAGCATCACCCTTCCGGCGCGCCAAGTGGCTAACAGAGTTTTCTCTTCCGTTGACTTCGACAATCTTCCGCCACTCCAGCAACCACGGGATCGGTGGGTTCTTAACTATCTGGCGCCCTCCCGACGGGTAGCTTCCGAGATCGCTTCATGGTCCGTTTCGCGGATCGCGATGGTTTGCGTGAGGACCATGACCATTGAGCTGTTGTTTCACCACTACTCCAAGCCCAGGAATTTTCTGTTTCCCTTCTACAATCATGGACGAGCTCCGCCTACGGGGACTTGGGCTTCTGGGCTGATCTCGCGGCAACACATCGAGGCTCTTTACGCTACAGCCCCTTGGGATAATATCATAGTCCCAGTGAACCCGATATCGTTCACCATGATTGGGTGGTATTGTGATATGAGTCATCGGTACCTGGAGCTTGAGTCCACTCATCGACAAGCTCTGTGGGAATCCACTCATGCTTTCCCGATTCCTCCGGCTCATGGGCGATCTGAACGGTTCATGCAGACACTCTGGCGCCAACGAAAACAACGCCGTTCTCGCTTTGGAGCGCGTTGGAAGAACTTCTTGAAGATGATACTCAGCGGCATTATCGCTGGCCACTGCGATCTCGACATCTTGCTAGATCCCTTCTTCCTCCACTATCCGCGCCCACATGAAGACCGAGTTTGGTATCCAGGGTTAGGGCACTCTAACGACCCAGCTGACTTGCTAGGGGCGTTGGACATGGCAGAACAAGAGGATCCTTGGCGCAACCAGTTCCGTAACGCCTATTGGGATCATCCCGGATCGCAGATCCCTCGTCTGCAGGACAAGTTCAAACCTGCTCCATCGTCTTAGTCCAAGATCGATATACAAGCCCGATCGTCTTTCATAATCGTGTAAGTCATTCAATCATCTTCTTTTTGGTACTTCAATTCTTTGCAGCTTCCACGATCTCGATTCTCATCGCTCCACATCATTCAGGAAGGTTTCACTTGACTATCTCCATACTCACATACAAAAACCTCATCCACCAGCATGTGCTACCGTCTAGCACATCTTTCAACCCCTACATACGCATATGCTACCTCCCGCATACTTGTTCGAACTGTTAAGGTTCGTCCGACTTGCCTTCATGAGACTGCATTACGTCGAAACGGTTTCGACTCACTCGGTTCCGCTCAAACTCTTTCAAGATCGCCCCACAACTTAGATCGGCCTCGTCCACCCAACTTAGATCGGGATATCCCTTCCACTTCACCAGAAACTGCCGGTGTACTCGCCCATAACGGGTTTTTCTACCAGATCGCACGTCCAATATTGCCTCTACTTCGTATTCCCCTTCTTCAAGATCGCCATCCCAACTGTCTTCTGGCAGCAGAGCTTCATCGAAATCCAAGCGATCTGATTCCTCTATCGTTAGCTGGTCCTTCGGGCGTTCAGGGAACGTCTTTACCTTTTTTAGCTTCGATATATGTACAATCGGAAATAACCGATATGGGGTTCCAGCGATCTCCAATTTTACAGCATGATCTCCACATACGTCCGCAACTCGGAATGGCCCATGCCACATGTGCGCTAGCTTCTTCGCATATCCCTCTTTAACTCCGTCCAGGTATAGCCAAACTTGCGCTCCTACTTCGATCTCGTGTGGTTCCAGATCTTCGTTGTGTCGATCCGCTCGCTCCTGGATCGCGGCTTGTAAACGATCGTTCACTGCAGATCGGGCTCGCTGGTATTGTCTTTGGATTTTGTATCTCCAACTCTTTGGATCGCGATCTCGTGTCCCCGTATTCCCCACTGGTAGCGTAGCCTCCAAAGTCGATCGCGGGTCCCACCCATGAATCAGATAAAATGGAGTATCCCCCCGGATCCGATCTTGTGCAGTGTTAATGGCAAATGTGAGCCGCTCAGCATACTCATCCCAGTCTCGCTGGTCAACTTCAGCCACGTACATCTTGAGCGAATGTGTCAGGGTTTGCACCATTCGTTCGGCTGTTCCATTTGCTTGTGGCCTGTAAGCCATAGTAGCACGCTGTTTTTGTCCTACGATCCGACTGAAGGCTCGAAAGAAGTCGGACATAAATCCCGGTTCTCGATCGTGCCTGATAGCCTCGCTAGCTCCGAAGCGTCGAAACACACATTCTTCGTAATTCTCCGCTATTGTTTGTGCCGTCCGAGAGGAGCTAGCCTTTGCAATCACATATCCCGAGAAAAGGTCGACCCAAATGAGCAGTTCGGTGTTCCCCTTGATGGACTTGGGCAACGACGGTATATGATCCATGGCGATGATCTGGAATGGATAGGTTGCGTGTAGATTGCCCGGGGATTTCCCATGAATCATCGGGTTTCCTTTCCCGGTCTCACAGTCGGTACATTCGCCCACATATCGTTGAACGCTCCGATACAGTCCTCTCCAATGAAATCGCGATCTGATCCTCTGATAGGTTCGGCCAATACCCTGATGGCCTCCTTCCAGACTCGTGTGATAGTGATGCAAAAAATCCTGCTGCAACGTCTCAGGGATCACCAACCGCATCAAACCATCGCGATCTTCTGACTCTCTTTTCGCCATGGGGCAAAAAAATAGCAGATTGTTCTCATCGGTCTCGTATTCCGGCGTCAGTTTGGCGCACATCTTCAATTCTACCGCATCCAAGTTTGATACATCGCCACTTAGATATGTCTTGAGATTGACAATCCAACGCTCTTCATCTTGAGCTTGGACAATTCGTTGAATCCTGATCCTCTGTACTATCTCCTCCTGTATCACTTCAGGTTCATGACGTATCCTCCTGGCTGATCTCGTGATCGCAGTTACCCGAGCTAGCTGACCATCTTGCTTGGGCTTCAACAATTCATCGAGACGGTTCAGAGTCATCAGATCTTGCCGATTCTCTTCAGCTACAACCGTTCTTCCCTTTTCGCTCTGCAATGCTGTGCTTGCTAGTCGATCTGCGCTCTGATTCCACTCTCGCTTCATATGCAGAAACTCGTGAATAGGCCATGACCGCAGCTCCTCCAACGCTTTGTGTCTCAGAAGCTGAAGGCCCGGTGCCTTGCAGTCGATCTCACCGCGCATCTGTCGAATCACCAGACTGGAATCTCCACACAGTATTACTCGCCCCCTATCCAGACCGGCGAGTAACTCAAAGCACAGTAGCAAGCCATTATACTCAGCTTCATTTACAGTCAGATCGTGAACATATCTCTATTCGGCCGCCACGATCGTCCATTCGGGTAACTTCCATATCACGGCACTGAGCGACCCTCCTTTCTTTTTTATCCTAGCCGATCCATCGAAACTGGCCACCAGCAACTCCTCATCTGTTTCCACCGTTGGAGGAGGCATCGATATTTTGAGTCGACAGTCTTTTCGTGGGGAGATCGCAATCAGCATCTCTTCCACTTCTCCTCTCGGAGTGATACTCGCTGCTAACATGCCCAGGATCTCTTCCTCTCCTCTTTCACATTTCTTCACCTCCATAGTCCAATTTGACAACAAAGCAGCCCACCGTCCTAATCTCCCGTTGAGCCCTCGAGACTGCATCAACCAGGCTAACGTAGAATGTCGGGTCAGTACAGTGATCTCCCGCGAGGCAAGCGTAGTATAGCATACATCCAGCACACGAAGTAGCGCCAGCACTTCTTTTTCAACCGTTCCGTAGTTAAGCTCATTAGGCTTTAAAGTGCGGCTAGTAAACGTCACCGGATGGTACACGCCATCGTACTCCTGTATCAGGGCCTCTGAGACAGCCCACTTGCTAGCGTAGACCACGATTACGGGGGACCGATCTGGGTCGAAATTCTTGAGCATGGGAGCTGTAGCTATCTTAGCTTTTAGCATAGTGAAAGCAACCTTGGCTTCCGTACATCGACCCTCGTTGGAGCATTCGTCTCCTGCTGCAAGCTGAGATCGGCCGATCTCGAAGAAATCCGATTCTCTTAACTCATACAACACCGCGGCATACACCGCGAAATCCTCAATGAAGCGACGGTAGTAGTTCAAGCTCCCGAGAAAGGATTGCATAGCTCGTAGCGTGCTAGGAAACGGGATGTTAACCAACGACTCTAGGTTCTTGGGCTGAGCCTCCAGACCATCCATCGACACTCGATGTCCCAAATAATCGACCTTACGGCACCCCCGAAAGCTATTCGTGAGGCTGATAGACATATTCCACCTATCACATGCCGTTAGCAACCGTTCTACTTTTTTGTACAAAGATCCCCATGACGTGGCTGGTATGAGAATATCGTCAATGTAACATCGGCGTCTCAGTATAGACGGTCGTCGATCTGTCTCAGGTTCTCCATCTTTGAACACGTCGATCGGGCCATCAGAGGCTGATCTTTGACCGATCTTGAGATATCCATACAACGCATTGTCCGCCAGACGTTGGTAGATCTGGGGCGCGTTTTTAAGCCCAAAAGGCATTCGCAGCCACTCGAACAAGCCACACGGTGTGACAAACGCTGAGATCAGTTTTGCTCGTTCAGTCATTTTGACGACCCAAAATCCACTAGCCATATCTAGCGAACAGTACCATAGAGCTTTATCCAGATCTTCCAACAGATCGCTGATCAACGGCATGGGATAAACCATCAGACGCGTCAGCTGGTTCACTCTTCGATAATCAATGCAAAGGCGAATATCCACTCCGTTCTTCTTGATGATCACCACTATCGGAGACGCCCAAGGTGACGTGGATGGCTGAACGATTTTGGCTGCTAATAGTCCTTTGATGAGATCTGACAGCTTCTCCCGATATTTGGGTGCGACCGGACGCACTCTTTGCGCTATCGGTGCTGCCCCACCGACATCAATATCACAGATCGCGCCTCGTGCTGCTGGTGGTAGAGCATTACCTTTACCCATGAGGAGGTGACGGCTCTTCCAGATCAGCGATCTGAGCCGTTGTTGATCTGTGGTGAGAGGCACATCGGGATCACCGATCTGAATGTCCTCAATCGTAACTTCTTCCGTAGTCGCCGACATCTCTGGTAGCACGGCCATATGCTGCTCGATATCTTCCGCAAACAAATCTCCGCTCTCGTGGTGATAAACTGGTATTTCTGCAATCTCGACGTCTTCAGTATTTAGCATTATTTCTTCTTTAGGCTCCTTCGTCTCTTCCGGCTGGCCCAATTTCAACAGTCGGTCAGTCGGCTCAGCCTTCGGTAGAGACGATCTGTCACGTAGCCCTTCTTGACCGGTGTCGCGGTCTCCCTTCGTTGCATGTTGGGTACCGATCTCATGACCGTTCTCCATCCGCGATAGTTCGGCTCCCCTGACCGTTACTTCCCTCGCAACTACAGCATCTGCCTTTTGCGAATCGTCATCGTTAGCTTGCGGCGTTACCGTGGAGATCGCCGGAGACAGGTTCTGTAACGCATCAGACGGACGTTTCAAGATGCGTTTGGGAGCGGCATACGTAGGACGGTCTACCAATGGTCCGATCTGTTCTTTCGGGAGTTCGTTCACTCGATCCGTCGTAGCCTCATATGCCAGAGTTTGCCATTCCTTGTACTTCCCTGACCCGACTGTCACCAAACCTTGAGTTCGCGGTACCATATCGCCTTCGACCCACATGCCTAATATAGTGTGGGTGGGCAGTTTGATCTCACGGTCGCCAATGTTGGTCATCTGCAGGTATTTCGTCTTACCCCACCCCGAGATCACAGTGGGGACCCAATCTAGTCCTCTAGCGACCCACAACTTCATCTTAGCCCCTCCGATCCCGATCTTCACTTCCCTTGACTCTCCGACCGGGATCACCACGTGTTGGTCCTTCGCCGTTATATGTTGTATCTTCGATCCGTACGCGGGGCGACGTCCTGAGAGATGAATGCGGATTTCTTCTGGTAGACATATCGCGCCATCCGCTAGATCGAGCCGCACTCCAGCAGGCACCATAAAATCCATACCCAGAATCGCTTCTTGCCCTGCCAGATCGCCTACCCATACATTGAAATAGTATACCAGCGATCCCGTGAGGGTCACCTTGATCTTGGTACGTCCTACCGTCATGTACAGAGTTTCTCCAATCCCGATACATTTTTGTCGTTGACTTTCGTCAATATTGCAACCGACCTCACGAGCAAAGGTGGTGTCAATGATCGACACTTCAGCACCAGAATCAATTAACAGAGTAGCTTTTACGTTGTTGATCTTGCCAACGGCTTTCGCTTGTTTGAACCACTTCCCGGGTGAATAATGTTTCCAGTATCCGCGAGATTCACCATAAGCGAGCTCGATCTCCATAGCTGGTTCAGATCGTGAGTACTCATCGATCAGATGGGACACGGAAGCGACACGTTTTAACTTCGAACGATATATTTTTGTTTCCACGTCAATATCCTGCTTACTCTCGCGATCTGTCTTCTTTTTTTCCACGTATGCAATAATGCAGAGCCCAAACGCTCGGCTCGTACCAGATTCAAACCTGGCGAGCGTCCTAGTTTAACATCTTCTCGGCCTTCTCTGGTAGCATCCCCGCATGTTAATTCGGGACGTACCACTGACGGATCATGTTATAGAACTCCTCCATGGGACACTTCCCCGGGTCGTGCATCTCACCGCAAGCACGACACACGAAAAAACAATTTTCAGAGGGGTGTCCTTTACGCCCACACTTCTGGCAAGTGAGCCGCTTCCAGCAACCGAGATCTCCATGCTTGGTCGATCCGCAATGAGTACACGGCTTCAATGGCATATTGCGATCTTGATAGTCTTGACGAGTGTTCGGGTCGACCGATCTCGCGTTTGCTGCAACGTCATTGGGGGATGAACGGCGATCCGCAGTAGCAGCCACATGGATTGATCTCAATCGATCTTCCAAATCCGATCCGCAGGTGTCCGATCCTGACTCGCTGCAGACGTCCTCGGTACGAACCATCCTTACCGCTCGTGCAGGCTTAGACAGCGCTGGACCCTGAGTTCCCTTCTGCCTGAACTTGGACGATCCCATCATCACTTTCCCTTGACGCGATCTCCCTTGTTGATGTCCGTGCAGTGTCTTTTGCATGGCTCCCGCGTCTTCTACATTCAGCAGTAGCAATTGATTGGACGGCTCGGGGTCGTTCAAGGTGTCAATGAAATGGTTGACATGTTCCTTGCGCGCAGCTGGCAATCCAGTCATCACCGGTATCTTCACCTGCATTCCCATCACATTAAGTCGATACAGGTACTGTAAAAGATCTTCCTCCGATCGTTTCTTTGCGTGGTAGTACTGCCTGCTCGCGGACATCCCGTGTCCTGCATACTACACAAAAAAACTGTTCATCAATTCTTTCCAATTGAATCTCGTCGATCTACTCAGCTGTCGGTACCAGTAGCGGGCTGGGCCCACCATGGGATCACCGAAGACCAGACATCTCTCCTCTTCCGGTGCTTGGTCCCGGATAAACGCTGATTTCACTTTGCCGATCCAGGTCCGTGCTTTGTCTTCTTCCCGATCCTTCCCTGAGAATTCTTTCAGCTCAGAAATCGCTGAGATTCTGATCCTCTGCGTGATACTTCCCCCTCCGGTATTCGCACCGGTCGCGGCTACTTGAGGGCGCCGTGGTTCGGGCATCCATAGATCATCCGGGTCTTATTCCGCCCCCTCATGGATATGTTGGTAAATGTCCGACCCCACCGACTCCATCTCCACATCCGGCATGTCAAGGCTTTCGTGTGAAGGTTTGAGCAAAGTACGTCGATCTGGGTAGCGGTTTGGCTGTCGATTCATTCGCTGAGCTGTACGTTGATCCGCCTCGTACTTCTTCATGGCTGAATTGAAGTACCGACTTAGATCGCCCTCTTCTTGATCCTCCAGTCCAGTGCGGGTACTGGCCGATCTCTGCGGCATGTTGCTCTTGGCTTGTCCCTTATAGGCGTCGATCTTGGCTTGTCCGATCTTGTCCTTTAAGAACTTTCCACCCGATGGTCCTAGAGACATCTGACGAATGCTGATGGATCCATCTGACTCGCTCTCGGAGTCATCCGAGGCGTAGCGGGGCGATCCCGCGGGGTGTTTACGGAGCGAGCCCGAGGGCGTCCCAATCTTGTCTTCAGGAGTATTCGCTTTGCCCACCAGCATTATCATGATATCTAAAAACTCATTCGCCGCGTCCTTCAACTGTTCCAAGCTGCAACTCAGCAGTTCATCTCCATCAAAAGCGTCAGGGCAGATACCCATGTCGTCCAACATCTGTAAAATCAAATTGATCTCGTCGACTTTGTTGGTCCCGTGAAGTGGGACCGAGATCGGCTTATCCAGAGGACCAATCACCTTGGGCCTTAATATCTTGAACACTGGGTCCGTCTTGAGCAGCACTGGCCATAATAGTACTGCCATTTTGCACGCTCCCGCGCTTCACCCGTCGTCTCCTTCTCCATGGACGCGATCTTTATTGGGTTATGTTCCGTCTTTGGCATCGCGATCTTATCTGGTGTTTCATCGTATTCCTCTTTGGCTCCGATCTTTGATTGCACGGTTCGGCCGATCTGGCGATCTTTGACATCTGATCCCATCGATCTCGTCGCGGATCGTTCTGATGTGGTCGATCTCGCGATTGTGCTCTTCGGCTTGAGGTCGGGCGATCTATCGACTAAGATATAGGGTATGGCTTTCGCCGATTTGGTTTTCACCATTGGATTTTCATCCAGCAGATCGCTCTTTGCAGAGCGATCTGCGGTGGCCCCCGAAGGGACCCTAGGGGGGAATTGAGGTTTATCTTCCAGATCGATCTCTCGATCTTCCTCTTTCATTTTCATTTCATCAGAGCCCCTTCTAAAACTCTGATGATCTGAGGATCTTGTGCTTCTGCGTGTCTGCGTCTATCCCTTTGTCGCTGACACTTCAATCCCAGGTTCTTGCTTAATCTTGACATCTTCGCCAGTGGACTCACGGTAAAATCCAGAGGCCTCAGAAGATTCGGGCACGCGCACCATTGTGGTGAAGTCGATCTCACAAAATTGCTTGTATGAGTGTCGATCTTCCACTTGCCCAGACTTGCCGACTCACGGAGGGGGTACTCCGATCCTTGCCTTGTTGTATGACCTTGTGCTCACCTTGTGTACCCGTCGGTTGGGCTGGCTTGAGCTCTTCGTAACGGCCTTGGGAGATGTCGATCTCGCTGAGAGGTTGGGTTGAGGGTTCGCTTCCGGTGCGGAAATCTTCACACCACGAACGGGGGTTCTGCGATCCCGATCTTGGATCGCACCGATCTTGATTTGTCTTCGAGATCGGGGTCTTTGCTGTGCGGAAATCTTCACTCAGCAAATAAAAGTCCTGCGTCGATCTTGCCTTGGGATCGGTCCGATCTGGTCTTGGGATCGGCCGATCTTGCCGGAAGTGCGCAATTTGGGTAGATCGGTGTCTTGTTTCTCCAAAATGAAACGTGCCGATCTGTCCAGGGGATCGCTTCGATCCTGCTCGGTCTTGTCTTGAACGCCTTGTCCAGATCTTCTGACCACTTGAGCCGTCTCGCGATCCTGTGTCCAAAATCCTTTTCCTTTTCCGTTGTGTGCTGCTACCCTAGCAGTTGAGTTGAGTGTGAGTACTTGATCGATCCGGGCCAGATATCCCGGGATCGCTCTTCTCGATCTTGGCCAACAATCCAAGATCGGTCTTCTGTGTCCCTGTAACACGCGTGCCTTAACCCGCCGGGGAAGCCAAATCAATCTTGCCTGGAGAAGAGGGGAGGATTACGTGCATCGTGAGCAGAAGAAGTAGAGTTCAAGTCTGTTTATTAACCAACCAAATTACTATCCAAACTACCCTTAAGCCTATTCTTAACTATAGGTCACTCTTCAAACCGATATCGCCTTGAATCTGGATCGCCCCCTTGCCACGTGTCGAAATTTTGTGCCCTGTACTCCAATGATAGCGCCAATATCCCCGATATCGTACCTAGAGCACCAAATGGACCAAAATCTCCTATATGGTACCAAATACCCATTCTTGGCACCCAAGTACCCAATATATGACCCAAAATGCCGAATGTGTCCAAATTCACTTTGCGACGTCAATTCGGACAGCTTCCACTGGCTCTTTCGGCATGAAACTTCTTGACATCACTTAGTGACCTCTATCAAGTATATTCCACATGATCCAGTATCTTCATCAACCATATATTCATGATCAGTGTGGAACATGACCGATCTGTCATCCAATATCGAGATGTTGGAGGTCGATCCGGTCTAAATCGGCAATTAACACTTTTTCATCTCCTCATACGTGCTTCAATATCATCCTCCAGTGTTATCCAATCGACAACTTCATTCATACGTCTCGACATCGGTTTCCTTGACTCCCCTGAGTATGCAAAACTTCCAGATCGGTGTATAGTTAACCAAAATCAGTACTCCCAATTTAGGATCGGTAAAGAGTATCACCGATCCGTATGGTGTTGCACCTTCTTTGCCGATTCACCGACCCGTACCACCTGGTCCCAGATGCACTTTGGGGAGTCACCTTGTCCCAGATGTGTCAATTCTCCAACAAACCGTTGCCACAACATGTCGATCTGCGATCTGATCTTAGCCTGCTTCAATGTACGTATACTTCTTCTTGACCGGCATTCCAATGAGCTGTATGACTTCATCCCGATGTCTGGTTCCAGATCGCCCCATAACATTCTGCAAGATGTTACACCTTCGTCGCAGAGTCATATCCCATCACCCGGTCCCAGATCCTTGTCCCAGATTGTTCCATGTAAATCGTTCCAGATCGCTCCGTCCCAGGTCGATCCATACCCATTAGTCGAACGACGGTTGGATCGGTTCGCTGATCCCGTTAAGATCATCTTCCACCTCCGTATTGGATCGCCGAGTCTCATGGCCTCCTTTTCCACCAGTAAGCGGCGCTTTAAAGGTGTGGCCACCGATCCTCGTACAAAATTTGAGTAGTGACTTTGCCACAGAACCGTCTTCTGTATCTGGAGAGTATGAGACACCGAGCTCATACTCTGTGAAGACATGAGTGTCTTCATGACCAGCGCCTGCATCACCAAGTGACACAGGCTGGGTCGCTTCAGCAACCGATGAGACATCAGTTGCTGTTGTTTCTGCTTCGGCGTCCGCACAGAGACGTGCAGACGCGCTCTCAGCGGCCTTGTTCGCGCACCGAATGAAATTGTTAACCATGCGATGTAACCGATGGACTGTGGACTCGGACCAACAAGTGCAAACCCTGTCCCAAATGATTTGGGACGAGTATCCATTTAGTCAATCAGTCACTAAAGTGACTGATGGTTAAGGGGGGGGTGATGTAACGGGGTGAATCGTTACATAACAATTTATAAGAAATTGTTAATAGAATATAACTATAAGAGTTATATTTCAGAATATTGTCATAAGGACAAATATTCTGTAGCACTTACGAGTAGTTCCTAATTGGTTGATATAGGCCATTATATCAACCAACGAAGACGCGCCACGACAGACGCACGCAATGAGTGGTGAGCAGATAGTTGATATGCACATTTGTATTTAGACATAGTTAGATGAAGATAAATAGTGATCTATTGCAGACATTAACTATGCTAAATACAGTTCTACTTTTTACTTTAACCAAGTACTCGCTTCTTCTTACCGTCTTCCTCTGCACGTACGAGTGTACGTGAAGTTACGAGGCACCGCCTTATTCTGTTATCAGAATAAGTAGCTTGTACTGTCACCAGTACAAGCTTCAGGGTGCCCCGTTACACATGTGACTCGAGAGAGAGAATTGGTCCGCAGGATATCCTGGTGCAGGCTTCGCTGACGATGGATCGAATCACCCTGCAAAATGAAGAAGCTCCTAATCTTGGTGGTCTGTCTACAAGTCGCCGACACGTTCGCTGAGCACGAGCACGGTCCACGAAGAGAACTCTTATAAAACCGTGACGACCTCAATTGAGATCCAGTACCAGTTGTTATGGACAGTAGCACCGAGCCAGATACTCTTCGTCCAGTGGTCGGTCTGGGCACATGTGAGCACGTTTGTGTCCGAGCCGACCTGAAGAGCAAGAAGTTGATTACGGGATGATGGCCAGGGATTACGACAAGATGGCTCGTTGGGACCTGGTTCAGTGGTGACAGGACTCCTAGCCAAGCGTCCTCTGTCCCCTGCATCAAATTGTTTCGAGCGCGAGAGCAGCCCGCCATCCGGTAAGGTGCACACACGAATCTAAACCCAGACTTGGTCAACGGACGGTTTCCACGGCCCTTTTGGGAGTGCTTTGCCGTGCTGCCTGACGTCTTGAGCCAGCAGAATGAGAAAGCTAGGAGTAGCAAGACTGTGTCATGGTAGATGACACGAGGTGGTTACCACACACCCAGACATCTTATCAGTGTAACGGGGTGAATCGTTACATAACAATTTATAAGAAAATGTTAATAGAATATAACTATAAGAGTTATATTCTCAGAATATTGTCATAAGGACAAATATTCTGTAGCACTTACAAGTAGTTCCTAATTGGTTGATATAGGCCATTATATCAACCAACGAAGACGCGCCACGACAGACGCACGCAATGAGTGGTGAGCAGATAATTGATTTACACATTTGTATTTAGACATAGTTAGATGAAGATAAATAGTGATTTATTGCAGACATTAACTATTATAAATACAGTTCTACTTTTTACTTTAACCAAGTACTCGCTTCTTCTTACCGTCTTCCTCTGCACGTACGAGTGTACGTGAAGTTACGAGGCACCGCCTTATTCTGTCATCAGAATAAGTAGCTTGTACTGTCACCAGTACAAGCTTCAGGGTGCCCCGTTACACCTAGTAGCACTTCGTAGTCCGTCCAAGGACCACGTTCACATCTAACATGAATATGTTGGATGATGAAGATGACCAAAGCTTTCACGCTACGCGTGACGGCTACTCCCATTTGAGCGATGTCGAATGGGATGCGGTTGAACGAATGGGTTCGACCATGGGCATCCATGCTGTTAGCGTCATGCTAGAGGCTCTCAATAGAGATGCCCAACATGCTACTATCGCCAAGTTCATTCAAAATGAACTTGACGCTGAACGCGAGAAAGTAGCCTTGCTTCACCAACAAGGTTCTCAACAAGCAGAGTTGTTGAGAGAACAGGGTGCTCAACAGTTTGAACTGTTGAGACAGCAGCAGGCTGCTGCTGGCGGGTCGATGCACTCGCGTCGACCCGAAACCTTGAAGATTGACATCTCCAAGTATAGGGGAGTCGAAGAAGACTCCCTCTTGAGATGGTTTGTCGAATTAGACGACGCCATAAGGGCGCGTCGCATCGACGATAGGGAAATGCAAGTTGCATTTGCCCAATCAAATCTGGCAGGACGTTCCAAGCCTTGGGCTTTGGGACTCAAGTTGCACGACCCATATGCGTTTGGGTCGTTGGAAGTCTTCAAGTCGCGGCTCAGACAAACGTTTGAACCGCCTAGAGCTGAGTTCAGAGCTCGAACCGAACTCTTGAAGTTCAAGCAGGGTAAGCGTGATGTGCACGCTTACGCGCAACTTATACGACATCTCACGAGTTGTATAAGTTCCAACCCGGTTGATGAACACACGTTGGTTTTGGTGTTCATGCAGGGTCTTGCGGATGGTCCCGTCAAGACTCACCTGTTCCGACTTGAACTAGATTCACTAGAACAAGCCATTTCCATTGCGGAGCAGGAAGACTTCAGTTTGAGACAGGCTCGCGCCAGCTCGACATCATATCGTCAACCGAGACGATATGACAGCGGAGGTCCAGAGCCGATGAAACTCTGTTGTGTAGAGATCTAGAAGGCTCGCTCTACAGACTACAAGAAGTTGCAGAGATGCAACAGATGTCAAAAGACAGGACACTACGCTTACGAGTGTAGTGCCCCTCGTCCAGTGTCTCGCGACACTGGGCGTAATGACCGTTCACCCATGAGAAAGGGGCAGGGACGCGGGTCCGCTGTTGGCGCAAAGACGCAACAACGGGATGGATTGTCAAAAAACGGACAGGATCAGTAGGTGCGGAGCACCGTACTGGTCCAGCAACGTCAAGAGAATTTGTAGGCCTCTTGATGAAGGTTGCTCCCAACACACAAACGTTGTGCGTTGCTGCTCTAGGTAATGAGGTCTCACTCATTACCTTGAAACTCGAAGTGACGAATAAGTTGTCCCTTCGAGCTCTAGTCGATTGTGGGGCGTCCAACAATTTTGTGCGACGCCAATCGCTAGAAGATGGTCACTTTAAGTTTCAGTGAATGTGACACACCTCCTACGAGGATGACGGTACGTCTTGCGACAGGCGCATCCGTAACCGTCATGAAGCGTATAGTGAAGATTCACTATACGCTAGAAGATACCCAATATGACGATGACTTTATCGTATTGGATTTGGATGACAAATTTGATGTCATCCTTGGAATACCGTGGCTCAGAAGGTACGAACCACGGGTAAACTGGCAACATCGAACAGTAACGATGCCTGCCGCTTGTTCATCAGATGGCCATCTGATGAACGTTTTGGAGCGTCCACAAGCGTGTGGATGTACTACGAGTGAGTGCGATGGCCTCACTTATGGTACGGTCGTTAGTACGACTGCACAAAACCTTAGTGTACCAAACGGTTACACTTCGGAGCAAAGTTCCGGCAGCTGTGAGGAAACACAGGCTGCGCCGAAGGTCCACCACTCGAATAAGTCGGGTGGACTGGGACAAAGATGTATCCCTAGCGGGGAACATCCAGAAGAGAAACAATCGATCGCTCAGGTTAAGCGAAACGATAATCATAGATCGACTGGAGAGTCTTTCGTAGAGGATCTCGCTGTGGTTGCGCAACCCCAGCTAGAGGAAGTAAAGGGAATAAGTCCCAAGATTACAAATACGGCGGTTATAAGTTCCCCGAAACCCGCGGGAATAAGTCCCCGGGAAGCCGAAGAAATAAGTCCTTCGAAGCCTGAGGGAATAAGTCCCCAGGAAATGACAGAGACATTGAATGTCATAGTCCATAACGGGTCAAGTGTAGGCGCTTATACACTTGATCTGATTGCGCCTCCGAAGTTGACTTCGGAGATCACTCAGTTGCCAACGCTCGAACATAAAAGGTTCTTGCGTGATCTGTGTAGTGGCAAAGTCAAGCAGATCTGCGTACTCGTCGCTGACGACGAGTGTGTAACCGACATAAGGTCAGCAACAGTGTTTACTGAGAACGAGAGAGTTCTCAGTAGTTCATCTATGGACGAGAGTGTCCTAGATGAAAAGACACGAATTGAGCGATATGACTCCCAATCGTGGGAATCGCTCAAGACAAATCCTCTCTACGAAGATTTGGTTGAATTCAAGGATGTATTCCCTGAAACTGTTCCGTGCGAATTACCGAAGGATAAAGGTATTCGACACGAGGTCGAGCTTAAACCAGGCTCGAAGTACTGTGTCATGAAGCAGTGGCCACTGCCTCGTGAACAAGTACTTGCGATCAACAAGTTCTTTGCCGATCGTTTAGCTGCGGGCCATGTGAGGGAATCAACTTCCCCACATAGCTCTCCGACCTTCTGTGTGCGAAAAGCAACAGGAGGGTGGCGGATAGTGCACGCGTTCAACAAATTGAACGCTGCAACGGTACCGGCTCAGACGCCGATACCGAGGAAGGACGTAATCATTGATGGTATGTCAAAGAGTGCCATCTTTTCGTCCATGAATTTGATGGATGGCTTCTATCAAATCCTTATGCGGGAACGGGATATACCCTATACCGCAGTTAGCACGCCTAGCGGCATGCTCTGGGAATGGCTAGTAATGCCACAAGGGCTCAGTAATGCCCCTGCCACGTTCAACAGATGTGTATCACATCTGTTGAGACCAGTACGCGAATTCGCGCCGAGTTATTTCGATGACGTATTCATTCATAGTCGAGCTATGGATGGAAAGTCGGACGTTGAGGTTCACAGGTACCACGTCCGACAGGTTCTTACAATCATGCGAAAGCATCAATTGTATGCCAACCTCAAGAAGTGTATATTTGCAGCAAGCAAAATACCACTTCTTGGGTGCATCGTGGGTAAGAACGGTGTACGTCCTGATCCCGAAAAGATCAAGGCGATCACCGACTGGCCTGTGCCGGTTGATGTCAAAGGTCTTCGAAAATTCCTTGGGCTAGCGGCGTATTTGCATAATTATTCACGCAATTACGCCGAGATGACTGTGCACCTCTCTCGTTTGTTGAAAAAGAACGAGAGGTGGTTATGGAACGCTGAATGTCAGCGCTCCTTTGAGGGTATCAAGCAGAGCTTGATACAATCCCCAGTCCTAGCAATAGCCGATCAGGACAGGCCATTTCATGTGGTCTGTGATGCCAGCGATTTCGCAATCGGCTGTGCATAAATGCAGTACGATCTTGAAGGCGTTGAACGCGTCGTCTGCTATCAGTCGCGTCAGCTGCAACCAGCTGAGCGGAACTATCCAGTGCATGACAAGGAACTCCTTGCCATGAAGTATGCACTCGCGAAGTTCAGAGCCTATCTATTAGGAGATAGACCTTCATTGTTTACACTGGCCATGCGTCATTACGCACGGCAGTGAACAGCCCGCACCTTTCACAACGAATGGCGCGGTGGTCGTCATTCTTTGCAGAATACAACTTTACGGTCGAGTACAAACCGGGACGACTTAATGTCGTCGCTGATGCACTCTCACGTCGTCCCGACTTTGAAACAGTCGCGAAACCCAACAGTGAGACAGTCACTGTTGCGGTTATGACGTCCTCAGTCCCATCTACAACGTTGTATGATGATGTGAGGCGGGCATACGCCCAAGATGGTGAGATAGTGAAGTTGTTGACACATCTCTCACAACCATCTCGAGAATCGTTGAAACGATTGTCGTATGCGTATCGATCTGCATCAGATCGATACACTACTCGTAACGGTTTACTGTACTATACAGCCGTTTCTGGTGACACACCACGCGTTGTCATTCCAGATGATACTGATCTGCGTTTGCGGATCATGTTCGAGTATCATGATGCTCCTATAGGAGGACATCGTGGCCGAGAGAAAACATATCTCACGGTAAGTCGAGACTTTTACTGGCCCCGCCAGTATCAGTTTGTGCGAAAGTATGTTCGCGCATGCGAAGTTTGCCAACGAGTGAAGTCAAGTCCTTCACTGCGTGCACCTTTACAGCCTCTAACGGTTCCGGCTGAGTGCTGGGAATCCATCTCGATGGATTTCGTCTTCGGGTTACCCAAAGACGCACGCGGGAATACGGGTATTCTCGTATTTGTTGACAGATTCAGCAAAATAGTACACCTCGTGGCTATACCAGAGACAATCACGGCAAGTGGCTGTGCTTGTGTCTTTATTGACACCATCTTCCGACTTCATGGGTTGCCCCGTGAACTCGTATCAGACAGAGATCTACGCGTCACTGCTGATTTCTGGCGTTCCGTGTTCAAATCACTCGGAACGCGCTTGAAGATGTCGACATCTGATCATCCAGAGTCCGATGGTCAGACGAAACGTGCCAATCGTGTCCTTGAAGAGATACTTCGAGGGTACGTACACTCCTTTAAGAGTTGGAGTGAGTTCTTGCCCATGGTAGATTTTGCCATTAACAACTCGGTACATGCGTCCACGACACATACACCGTTTTACGTGAATGGCTTACGCCGTCCGCGTGTACCCACCTTACTAGAGTGTAACTCTGGTTTAAGGGAGGGAGGGACTCGCGCGAGCAAAAACCGATTTGGTTCACGCTCATCACGCTCTGACGAAGAGGTCATTGAGTTTGATGCCGATATCGATAACATCGATATCGAAGAAGATGATGCCAGTGAGAGTGCGGAAGCCCTCACTGAAGAAAAGGTTGGTGTTGCTGCAGTGCACTTACAGCTCACTGAAGCTAACGAGTCATCAGATGAGTTCATACTGGCTCGTGAAACGGTAGTCCGTTTTGTGCAAGACTCCATCGCCGAAGCGGTGGATAAGCAAAAGCAAAACGCTGACAAGAATGGAAGGGCAAAAACTCTTTTATTCAATAAAGGTGACTTAGTCCTACTGTCTACGGTTAATCTACCAAAGCATGTAGTGAATAACTTGGGTAGCAGTAAACTACTACCCAAGTACATCAGCCCATTTCGTGTATTGCATCGCCTAGGCAACGCATACACGATCGAACTGCCACGTAAGATGCGAACGCATCCCACGTTTTACGTTGGTCGGCTTAAGCCGTACCATCAGTACGCTGCTTCTTCCGATGAAGAATGCCCTTGCGCTCAAGCATCTCGCAGAAAGCCTTGTGCTCCCGATGGTGGGCATCAACAAGGGTCTGAAGAGCAGCTACCTCATCCCGAGACCGATCAACAATCCCACGAGCTACCCTTAGCTCGTCACGAAGAGATGTCAGAGATCTCTCGTTCTCAAGCTGAGCAAAGGCAAACTCAGCTCGATGCTTCGAGGCAGTGTCCGCCATTTGGAGACGCCTATTCCGCTCATGTTCGAGATCGTCGCGTAACCCTTGCGTTACGCGATCAAAGAAGCTCTCGGGAACACACCGATCCACATGATCGTGTGGAGAGCGTCTTTCCTCCTCCTCCACCTCCATTAGAGGACTCTAGCGGTGGCCAGCGCTATCTAGTTGAGCAGCTGTTGAACCACCGCGACGTGAACGGACGTCGGACGAGTTATCTCGTCCGGTGGCGCAGTTATCTCCGTCCTGGGATACTTGGTAGCCCCGCTCCCAACTGATGATCGACGTACTGGGTCTGGTTGAGCAGTACGACGCGGCACATCCTGTGCCGCAGAAGGACCGCCGGAGAAAGTCTTCCCGGCACGGTCGTAAAGGGATTTCAGATTGTCAATCCCTTCGTACATCTCAATAGAGACACGTACGCGCCACCACGGGCTATTAGGGAGGTAAGCCTCCTTAGGTGCTCGTGCAGAGTTGTTCACACAACATGGGCACGAGTCTCCCCAAGAGAGGCAGGGTAATCCTTTCTCCCTTGACAGACGATGCAGCTTGTAGCGTGCACCTGTCGGGGTTCGCTTTTCAAACTCATCACGAGCTTTGATAAGTTTGTCGTTCCAAGCGTCACGACCTACATCCTCGAGGTTATGGATGTAGGCGTTCCACGCCTGAAGTAGTGAGGGACCATCACGTTTGTGATTCCCACTGTACCATCGATGTCTAAAGAAAGCATCGATGAAGAATTCATGTTCAGCGCGATAGTTTTTCGCGCTGGGGTCAAGGTGATGGATCCTTGACGAATCGAACAACCGTGTTCGATAACGATCACTTGTCGTCACCGACAAGTGATCCATGACAGATTTAGGAGGCATCCATGCCTTCTTTTCTGGAGCGAGACGCAACACATTGCGGTCCCGCTCTTCCTGCGACGTGCCGACAGAAGTACTGGCACCTCGCTGTGAAGTGGTGTCCATAGGAGAAACGGCACCACTATTAGCGCCCGAGTCTCGCGACCTCGAGCGCCTTCGCTTCGGCGATGGTTCATCTGACTCATCAGATGAACCAAAGATGCTGCGACGCAAAGCATCGTCCATGCCACGCTTGGCAGGCGGCTTAGATTCAATCGCCGTCGATACGGATCCGTCATCCGTATTAGGAGAGTACGAGACACCGAGCTCGTACTCTGTGAAGACACGAGTGTCTTCATGACCAGCGCCTGCATCACCAAGTGACACAGGCTGGGTCGCTTCAGCAACCGATGAGACATCAGTTGCTGTTGTTTCTGCTTCGGCGTCCGCACAGAGACGTGCAGACGCGCTCTCGGCGGCCTTGTTCGCGCACCGAATGAAATTGTTAACCATGCGATGTAACCGATGGACTGTGGACTCGGACCAACAAGTGCAAACCCCGTCCTAAATGCTTTGGGACGAGTATCCATTTAGTCAATCAGTCACTAAAGTGACTGATGGTTAAGGGGGGGTGATGTAACGGGGTGAATCGTTACATAACAATTTATAAGAAATTGTTAATAGAATATAACTATAAGAGTTATATTTCAGAATATTGTCATAAGGACAAATATTCTGTAGCACTTACGAGTAGTTCCTAATTGGTTGATATAGGCCATTATATCAACCAACGAAGACGCGCCACGACAGACGCACGCAACGAGTAGTGAGCAGATAGTTGATATGCACATCTGTATTTAGACATAGTTAGATGAAGATAAATAGTGATTTATTGCAGACATTAACTATTATAAATACAGTTCTACTTTTTACTTTAACCAAGTACTCGCTTCTTCTTACCGTCTTCCTCTGCACGTACGAGTGTACGTGAAGTTACGAGGCACCGCCTTATTCTGTCATCAGAATAAGTAGCTTGTACTGTCACCAGTACAAGCTTCAGGGTGCCCCGTTACAATCAGTGCTAAGTAGCTATGATAGACAGTCTGAGTGAGCCTCTCTAAAAAAGGATTGCCTTGGCGGACGGATGACGCAAATCGACCCGAAACTCAAGAAAATCGATTCATACGCTTATCTGGAAGCATCGATAACTACGACTTTTAAGAAGGTTTCTCCACTTGGTTACACACTCTACCAGTATGCTGGGAGAGAGTCGTCGTCGTTGTTCCGATTTGTCGTCAAGGAGACGTCACCAACTAGCTGTACCAACGCCTGTGCATCCGAATCCCGACCGTCCGTCACATTCATACGTCAGTAGTCACTGTGCTGGCCTTTACTCGACGTGTAAGCGGAATAAAAGACACGGCTTTCCACCGCCGCGGACTGTGAAATGGACCAATTTTTGAGACTCTTGTCTATTTTGAACGCATCGGTCCGCACACCGACCTGTGCGACATAACATGATTGATCAGACCACGAGATCGCCTGAGATCTCTGACTACCCGGACAAAACCGCTCTGTCCACCGCAAAAACTTTCATCACAAAAGGCGTGACCTTGGGTAGATTCTGCAGACCTTAATCCTTCTTTCCTTCAACACTGGTGGCAAAAGGCAACTTGTCGCCGACCTTCATTCTTCTTTCCTTCAACAACGGTGGCAAAAGGCAACTTGTCGCTGACCTTTATTCTTCTTTCCTTCAACACCGGTGGTGAAAGGCAACTTGTCACTGACCTTCACTCTTCTTTAGTTCGACACCGGTGGCAACATGCGACCAAGTGCAACGTCCAACCCATTTTGTACTTTTACCGTCATCAGCTACTTAGTTCGCCTCGCCAACGCACCACCTGGTCACCCCGACTGCCCCTCAGCCAGCCATGGTCTGTCCCGTCACTTCGATTGAGACGTACAGCAGCAGCCGTCCCCGACCACGAAAGCAGCGGTAGAACTCGCCATTGCTTTGGCGCTCACACACTCACGGACCCGACCAAGCTGCCGCTATCGCCTCCTTAACAAACTCAAACGCAACCAAATCGCGACTTTGCGAGTCTCGCGCTGACGCCGAAAGATCACCCATTCACCCAGAACTGCTGCCTTCCAGCATCGACACTTTTGCTTCCATGGAGTACTTCTTCCTGCTCCACATCGGAGCTCTGTCCCGCGAGAATTTGTGTGCACTTTCGGCAGCAATTGAGCCCGCAAATGGCTGAGCTGCACAGCAAAAAGACTGCGGTCAAGGTCAGAGCTTCGTTGGTTCCGTCGTTTTGTTGCAGACGATCGTCAGTCTCTGCGGTCCCGATTTTGGGATGATACCATCAACTGCGGCAGCAGCAGCAAGTGACACTCAGTTAATAGCCAGAAGAAAGAGCTCTTCTTTGCATACGCTCTCGACTCGAGGCTGTGTAAGGTCTAGCGAATCATCATTGCCGGCCTGGAAGGGCAGAAGAACGAATCGTTCAGCCGACTACTCAGCCAAGGCTTTGGAACTATCTTTCATTGCTGCTACCGGTGGTGATGGGACGCCAACAAGACGAACTCGGTCAATGCTGTTGCACTTGCAACACGTTACGCCCGCATTAATTGACGACAAAATCGCTACAAGAGAGACACGACCAACACGCTTCGCAACGGCAGCGCCATCCTCTCTCTTTCTCTCGCTCTCTCTCAACGTATCTTACTTACACCACGTAGGCTGGTAGAGTACTGACGGCGCCACACTTGACCTGATCGATCTTGAGGTGTCGTCGCATTTGGGAAATGGCTCGAGCGGTTTCTTGCCACGCGGCTGCGCGATCTTCACGGATCGACCCGGGAATGTCGAAGCGTTCGCGCACAGTTGCACGGAGCGTCGAGATGCGATAGATGAGCAGCAATGACGCCAGCGACGCCAGAACGAACGCCCCTGCAGTCCACGAAATACGGCCCGTGACGCCGACGTTGTCGCGATAGGTCTGGGAGTTGATCCACAGGATCACAAAGATCCACACGGATGCTACGGCCCCAGTCAACAGCGCGTACGCCGTCGAGTACCAGCACAGCGCGCAGAAGTAGGACGTGAGTCCGAGACGCACCTCGATCTGTGCCAAAGGGAAACACGGACAACAGGCCTCCATGTTTACGTTCGACGCCATGCAGCTCACGGGCTTCTCTGGGATCACAGGACTCGACCACTGGCCGATTGTGATTCCGTTCGCATCTTGACCTGGTGGTGGTTGCAAGGCTCCCCCGTGCACTGTCTTCTCTGCCTTTGCCGTAGTCATTGCGAGTGGCCAGTGAATTGCCACCCAAGCTAATCGTTGAGATGAGCAGTGTGTGGAACAACAAGAGTGGCTACAGTAAAGTCGGATGTATTGAAAAAGGGTCAAGTAACTGGGCTGCATTCGCTATGTGTAGTATCCCTTTTACACTTGACGAACCTGCCGCAGCTACTCAACTTGACATGGAAAAAGAAACAGCACGATGTTCCGCAGTCAGTGCGTCAGCAGAACTTGCGCCTGGTGGCGTCGGCCTGCTACGGCTGCTTAGGCCCGCAAGAACTGCTGCACAGTCTGCGATGACTCGTCCTCCGGATTGGCTGGTGTTGGACTCGGGGTTTCGGGAACGCCAGTCTTGCCTGGGAAGGTCGGTGGTGTCATGACAGGAGTCTCAGGCTGCGCACCAGGGCCGTCCTCGGTAGGGCTAGGTGTGCACGGAGCTTCCGTTGACGGATCAACATTATCATCCGTGGGTTTCTCCACTGTAGGCACCGATGGCACCGACGGCAACGGGCCGTCCTGGTCGACATCAGATCCGCTGCTCTCCTCGTTACTAGGCGCCTCAATCGTCGGTGTCCAGTGCGGCAACGGGCCGTCCTGGTCGACATCAGATCCGCTGCTCTCCTCATTGATAGGTGCCTCAGTCATTGGTGTCACAGGTTCGTTCTTTGATCCACTGCCGTCCTCGACGGTAGGCACGGTGGGGGCTGGAGTAGGTTCGTCATCCGTAGTCGGGCATGGCGTGCCCGACTCTTCGTCGCCTCCCACTGGCGTTCCCACCTCAGGGACCGATGGTGTGCCCGGGTTCATCGGCGTGGCCGGTGAGGGCGTTCCCACCTCAGGGACCGATGGTGTGCCCGGGTTCATTGGCGTGGTCGGTGGGGGCATTTCCACCTCAGGGACCGTCGGTGTGCTCGGGTTCATTGGCGCGGGTGGTAGCGGGTCATCTTGATCGACATTTGATCCGCTGCCCTCCTCGACGTGAGGCACGGCGGGGGCTGGAGTAGGCTCGTCATCCGTAGTCGGGCGTGGCGTGCCCGACTCTTCGTCGCCTCCCACTGACGTTCCCACCTCAGGGACCGATGGTGTGCCCGGGTTCATTGGCGTGGTCGGTGGAGGCATTTCTACCTCAGGGACCGTCGGTGTGCTCGGGTTCATTGGCGCGGGTGGTAGCGGGTCATCTTGATCGACATTTGATCCGCTGACCTCCTCGACGTGAGGCACGGCGGGGGCTGGAGTAGGTTCGTCATCCGTAGTCGGGCATGGCGTGGCCGACTCTTCGTCGCCTCCCACTGGCGTTCCCACCTCAGGGACCGATGGTGTGCCCGGGTTCATTGGCGTGGTCGGTGGAGGCATTTCTACCTCAGGGACCGTCGGTGTGCTCGGGTTCATTGGCGCGGGTGGTAGCGGGTCATCTTGATCGACATTTGATCCGCTGCCCTCCTCGACGTGAGGCAAGGCGGGGGCTGGAGTAGGTTCGTCATCCGTAGTCGGGCATGGCGTGGCCGACTCTTCGTCGCCTCCCACTGGCGTTCCCACCTCAGGGACCGATGGTGTGCCTGGGTTCATTGGCGTGGTCGGTGGAGGCATTTCTACCTCAGGGACCGTCGGTGTGCTCGGGTTCATTGGCGCGGGTGGTAGCGTGTCATCTTGATCGACATTTGATCCGCTGCCCTCCTCGACGTGAGGCACGGCGGGGGCTGGAGTAGGTTCGTCATCCGTAGTCGGGCATGGCGTGGCCGACTCTTCGTCGCCTCCCACTGGCGTTCCCACCTCAGGGACCGATGGTGTGCCCGGGTTCATTGGCGTGGTCGGTGGAGGCATTTCCACCTCAGGGACCGTCGGTGTGCTCGGGTTCATTGGCGCGGGTGGTAGCGGGTCATCTTGATCGACATTTGATCCGCTGCCCTCCTCGACGTGAGGCAAGGCGGGGGCTGGAGTAGGTTCGTCATCCGTAGTCGGGCATGGCGTGGCCGACTCTTCGTCGCCTCCCACTGGCGTTCCCACCTCAGGGACCGATGGTGTGCCCGGGTTCATTGGCGTGGCCGGTGAGGGCGTTCCCACCTCAGGGACCGATGGTGTGCCCGGGTTCATTGGCGTGGTCGGTGGGGGAATTGCAACCACAGGGACCGGCGGTGTGCCCGGGTTCATTGGCGTGGTCGGTGGGGGAATTGCAACCACAGGGACCGATGGTGTGCCCGGGTTCATTGGCGTGGCCGGTGAGGGCGTTCCCACCTCAGGGACCGATGGTGTGCCCGGGTTCATTGGCGTGGCCGATGAGGGCGTTCCCACCTCAGGGACCGATGGTGTGCCCGGGTTCATTGGCGTGGCCGATGAGGGCGTTCCCACCTCAGGGACCGATGGTGTGCCCGGGTTCATTGGCGTGGTCGGTGGGGGAATTGCAACCACAGGGACCGTCGGTGTGCTCGGGTTCATTGGCGCGGCTGGTAGAGGGTCATCTTGATCGACATTTGATCCGCTGCCCTCCTCGTGGGCAGGTTGGGTAGGTTCCAGAGGGTAGCTGTACTCCAAAGGAGGGCATGGCGTGCCCGACTCTTCGTCGCCTCCCACTGGCGTTTCCACCTCAGGGACCGATGGTGTGCCCGGGTTCATCGGCGTGGCCGGTGAGGGCGTTCCCACCTCAGGGACCGATGGTGTGCCCGGGTTCATTGGCGTGGTCGGTGGAGGCATTTCTACCTCAGGGACCGTCGGTGTGCTCGGGTTCATTGGCGCGGGTGGTAGCGGGTCATCTTGATCGACATTTGATCCGCTGACCTCCTCGACGTGAGGCACGGCGGGGGCTGGAGTAGGTTCGTCATCCGTAGTCGGGCATGGCGTGGCCGACTCTTCGTCGCCTCCCACTGGCGTTCCCACCTCAGGGACCGATGGTGTGCCCGGGTTCATTGGCGTGGTCGGTGGAGGCATTTCTACCTCAGGGACCGTCGGTGTGCTCGGGTTCATTGGCGCGGGTGGTAGCGGGTCATCTTGATCGACATTTGATCCGCTGCCCTCCTCGTGGGCAGGTTGGGTAGGTTCCAGAGGGTAGCTGTACTCCAAAGGAGGGCATGGCGTGCCCGACTCTTCGTCGCCTCCCACTGGCTTTCCCACCTCAGGGACCGATGGTGTGCCCGGGTTCATCGGCGTGGCCGGTGAGGGCGTTCCCACCTCAGGGACCGATGGTGTGCCCGGGTTCATTGGCGTGGCCGGTGAGGGCGTTCCCACCTCAGGGACCGATGGTGTGCCCGGGTTCATTGGCGTGGCCGATGAGGGCGTTCCCACCTCAGGGACCGATGGTGTGCCCGGGTTCATTGGCGTGGTCGATGGGGGAATTGCAACCACAGGGACCGTCGGTGTGCTCGGGTTCATTGGCGCGGGTGGTAGAGGGTCATCTTGATCGACATTTGATCCGCTACCCTCCTCGTGAGCAGGTTGAGTAGGTTCCAGAGGGTAGTTGTATACCATAGGAGGGCATGGCGTGCCCGACTCTTTGTCGCCTCCCACTGGCGTTCCCACCTCAGGGACCGATGGTGTGCCCGGGTTCATCGGCGTGGCCGGTGAGGGCGTTCCCACCTCAGGGACCGATGGTGTGCCCGGGTTCATTGGCGTGGTCGGTGGGGGCATTTCCACCTCAGGGACCGTCGGTGTGCTCAAGTTCATTGGCGCGGGTGGTAGCGGGTCATCTTGATCGACATTTGATCCGCTGCCCTCCTCGACGTGAGGCACGGCGGGGGCTGGAGTAGGCTCGTCATCCGTAGTCGGGCGTGGCGCGCCCGACTCTTCGTCGCCTCCCACTGACGTTCCCACCTCAGGGACCGATGGCGTGCCCGGGTTCATCGGCGTGGTCGGTGGAGGCATTTCCACCTCAGGGACCGTCGGTGTGCTCGGGTTCATTGGCGCGGGTGGTAGCGGGTCATCTTGATCGACATTTGATCCGCTGCCCTCCTCGACGTAAGGCACGGCGGGGGCTGGAGTAGGTTCGTCATCCGTAGTCGGGCACGGTGTGCTCGACTCTTTCCCGCCCTCCACAGACGGCGGCGTCATGGGGGTAGGAGGAACCAATGGTGTCGCCGGTGCAAGCGGCGGGGAATTTTCCACTGGTTTCGCCGGCTTCGGTGGGTTCAGGTCATGACTACCACCGCTGTTGTCGGGGTTGTCAAACTTATAGCCACCGCCGCCACCAGCAAGGGCGACCTGCGTGGCTACCGCCGCAAGGACAATGGTCGTGTACACCTTCATGGGAGCAGGGTGGGTGGTAACAGAAGACGAGTAAAAACGCTGTTGAGGACAGGACGGAGATTTCCAACGAGGAACGAAGCTTGGAGAGGACGCTCTTGGGAGGAAATTGGGGAATGAGAACTTATAGTTGTGCCGAGCATTCGCATTGTGCGATTTGACGACGTTCGGAACCGGCGAGCAAGGCGCTCTTCTTGCACCACCAGCTTCCTTATCCTGGCGATGGTACATCGTCAGGTGGTTCTGTCATCCTACTACGTTAAGCTCTCTCCCTTTTACGCATGCACGACACGACACGACACGTGTAGAAGCTAGCCCGACCTCTGACTTTTTCTTGTCGCGTTGTCGCACGACGTATCGAAATATACGACCCGACGACATTCGACGTGTGGACGTCGCTGACGCGCGAGTCGCACCCGTTTTGTAACAATGGTGAACTCGCAGCTTTTGCACTGGAACATGACGCCGCCGAAAAAATTTTCTCCTTCTTTGGAAGCGTTTATTGACGGTGGTAACACAAACTGTAGATGCGCAAGCGAACTGAATAGCGTCCTGATGTCCCGACTCGGTGGTATAATTTCCTGTTAATCACTTCGGCACAAGCACTGTCGTCGTCAGAAGTGATAAGACCCATTACCATCGCGCTTGATAGTCACGAACGTTCTATCGCACTGAACTTATTGTGTAAAGGTGTGGTGAGTGTCAACATGTCGCTCACTCCCGCACGATTGGGTGAGGAAAAATCCACGAACGCTCGTGCAAAAAGGTCCCGACGGATTCACATACGTTTGCAGTTACCTATGGCCATATCGGTTATATGTACACGTCTACATTTGCACATCTCTGTTTGATCACTTGGTGCTAATTTCCAGCTAGCCAGCCCGCCGTCGCGTCCCCTGTAGACACGTCCGGCCACGAATGCGATCGCAACATTATCACACGGCATCAAACGACCGGCGTGATTGTAACGGTGCGTGGATGCACGTTATCCTTAGTTTTCACTACCATCGCTCGCCGTCACCAAGTCTCAATACCCTCCACTCCCCGTCTTAGCTCACTAGAACTGCTTCGTGCGCCATGCGTGACTGGTTCTTGCTCCTCGTACTCCAGCTCGTCTTGTCAGTTGGCAGCAATGCCGCGTCGGCTCTAGCCACTGAGTAGCTGCCTAAGCTGTCAACGCCTTTTAAGAGTCATTTATTCAGCTGGAAGGGGTTGGCAAACCTACTTTTCACCGCAGGCATGACGCCAATGAAGAACACGGCGATGAAGAAGGGGGAATTTATCGTCGTTGACGGCTGCTTTCACTGATCTGAGGACTAAAATGTCCATGGAAGCACCCACGAAGCTTGCCACCATATCGCGAGACCAACTGCTTGCAGTGGTGCAGAAGTATTACTGCGATGTACGGCCGAAGAAGTTGAAGGACCCGTCTAAACCTTTGTGACCAAGACCGACACTGCACCAGCCATCGATATGGAACACGACGCATATCTTGAAGGGAAATTTGGTGCCAGTTCTGAGGAGATGATGGAGATAGCACAGAGGGAGGTCAAGAGGAAGCAGACGCTTAACGGTTGACACGACGGCGGCTGAACGCCTGTGATCTCTCGGCGTTGCAGTGGCGGCGCGTACAAGGGGAAGCTGCATAGCGGCAAGCAGGGCGTTGTAGCGTTCATTAGCTCACGTGCTGGAATGCAGCTCTAAGTTGTATTGAAAAACCATTGTCCCGACCATTTTCTAAACCCGACTCGAGCTTGTCCTCACTCGTCAGCCCAAGCATCGGGCAGCCCCCTCCACTCATCGGGTCACGCCTCGTCGACCCAACGACCACGCACCGGAGTTCCTGTATGACGGTCTTCTTATATCACTCCCGCTACATCATTCCCTCCTAGCTCCACTCGTCAGCGCATCTACATGCCGCATGGTTGCAGGCAGTTAAAACCTCCCTGGACTAAAGTCAGTACAAGTTGCCCGTAAACCGACGTCACGACTACCCTCACCGATCCCTGCATCTCAGTGGCGAACCCGAATATTCGTGGTTGTCACGATGGATAGGCAGGTCCCCAATACCGCGGTAGCCCAGGGATTCACGTCACAATTTGGCGAAGAGGTGTCGCAAATTGCAGTCCAAGGAAACATCCGCTCTCATCCACGCAGGCCCAAAATTTGCCGCGAGAGCCGGCAAGCCTCATACGACAGCGTAGAACAGAATACTACAATTTGGCGAGTGGATGTCGCGTTCCTTCTACTCACAACCACGAGCAGGCGACATGTGCCTTAGCCCCGTCTTTAACTTGCGAAGCACCACTACGTCTGCATTTGAAGCAGCAACTTGATCAGCTTCAACCTCCTCCTCCGTGCGATCGAAGAAGTGATTAATGCACGACAACGACGCAAGCTCAGACTCGAGGAACCGTTCGATTACTGGAAATGTGCCTTTTGAACGCGAACACCTAAGATCGATTTTACGCTGCTGTATGACTATAGGCCTAGCGTCTCGGCTTTCATGTGTTTTGACTCGCTTTCACCAGTTGAATAGAACTGGACCAGCGCCTTTTACCAGGTCGTCGATCAACCATAAGAACCGCAGACCCGCAAGTACCAGCAGCGATTCCTCGACTTGTGTTACGACACTATTGGTACCTTGTTAACCTCCCCTGCAGTCGATTGCGATCGCCTTGGGCCGCGTTACTGACTTCGTCCCTCGCAGCAGTAATCATGCACTATCTTCTCAGTAACGCTAGCAACACAGTGCGTGAAAACTACTTGGCTGTGTATACCTTTTACCACAACACCGACTCTACGACATTTACTGTTGCGGCAGCCACGTCAATTCCCGCTTCCTTGTCCGTGGCAGCAGATTTGGTCGTACCGATGGTGCCACTCGACACAAACAGCTGGTCGTACATTACGGCCAACGGCTCTCGCAGACGCTAGTCCCCATCTGATAGTTTCTGTGGACACCACGCTCGTGCACTCTATCCCTCCCGAACGTCTAGCAAGCGTCGGTCGCAGAGCTCTACGACGGCAGCCAAGTGAATGACGTCGGAGCTCCGGATCATGTGCTTTTCAAATTGATTTGCTGCTGTTCGTAACCGACCGACATGAAGAGCGTGGAGCCCTTGCAAGAAAGTCAAATTGGCTGTTTCTGATGCCATATTGTGCGGGCGGTTGGCTTGCTAATCGTTTTCCTGTATGTAGTTCTCGTTAGAACTCCCCAGGGATCGTGCTATCGCTGTGGCAGTGTGCGCATGTGGTGACCCGTACGCGACGCGCTTGTTTATATTATGTGTTTTCGTTGCAGTACATAGAGATCCATGTATGGTGTGTAATCGGTGATGCATGACGTAGCACACACTAGTACAATGTATGCATCACTACCGGCAAGCCATGTTAAAGTACGTTACGCACTCGAGTCGTAACATAGGCGGAGCCATGTCTTGGTTGTACAGCACTTCACGTCTTGATGTCGACTTTACTGGCCAAGTGTTGGGCGAGTGTGACAAAGCAAAGAGCTATCGAGGTCGTGCAGGTTTTGACCGAAGGCTACCTCTACTGAATCACGCAAAGCTGTACGCACGCCGTTGTCTCTAGTAAGCGAGAATAGCGCATCTGTAACGGGGCACCCTGAAGCTTGTACTGGTGACAGTACAAGCTACTTATTCTGATAACAGAATAAGGCGATGCCTCGTAACTTCACGTACACTCGTACGTGCAGAGGAAGACGGTAAGAAGAAGCGAGTACTTGGTTAGTGTAACGGGGCACCCTGAAGCTTGTACTGGTGACAGTACAAGCTACTTATTCTGATAACAGAATAAGGCGGTGCCTCGTAACTTCACGTACACTCGTACGTGCAGAGGAAGACGGTAAGAAGAAGCGAGTACTCGGTTAGAGTAAAAAGTAGAACTGTATTTATAATAGTTAATGTCTGCAATAAATCACTATTTATCTTCATCTAACTATGTCTAAATACAAATGTGTAAATCAGTTATCTGCTCACCACTCATTGCGTGCGTCTGTCGTGGCGCGTCTTCGTTGGTTGATATAATGGCCTATATCAACCAATTAGGAACTACTTGGAAGTGCTACAGAATATTGTCCTTATGACAATATTCTGAGAATATAACTCTTATAGTTATATTCTATTAACAATTTCTTATAAATTGTTATGTAACGATTCACCCCGTTACAGTTAGAGTAAAAAGTAGAACTGTATTTATAATAGTTAATGTCTGCAATAAATCACTATTCATCCTCATCTAACTATGTCTGAATACAGATGTGCATATCAACTATCTGCTCACTACTCGTTGCGTGCGTCTGTCGTGGCGCGTCTTCGTTGGTTGATATAATGGCCTATATCAACCAATTAGGAACTACTTGGAAGTGCTACAGAATATTGTCCTTATGACAATATTCTGAGAATATAACTCTTATAGTTATATTCTATTAACAATTTCTTATAAATTGTTATGTAACGATTCACCCCGTTACATCACCCCCCCTTAACCATCAGTCACTTTAGTGACTGATTGACTAAATGGATACTCGTCCCAAATCATTTGGGACGGGGTTTGCACTTGTTGGTCCGCGTCCACTTTCCAACATCTCATCGCATGGTAAACAAGCCCATGCGATGCGCGAGCAAGGCCGCCGAGAGCGCGTCTGCACGTCTCTGTGCGGACGCCGAAGCAGAAACTACAGCAACTGATATCCCATCGGTTGCTGAATCGACTCAGCCTGTATCACCTGGTGATGCAGGCGCTGGTCATGAAGACACTCGTGTCTTCACAGAGTACGAGCTCGGTGTCTCGTACTCTCCTGATACGGATGACGGATCCGTATCGACGGCAATTGAATCCAAGCCGCCTGCCAAGCGTGGCATGGACGATGCTTTGCGTCGCAGCATCTTTGGTTCATCTGATGAGTCAGATGAACCATCGCCGAAGCGAAGGCGCTCGAGGTCGCGAGACTCGGGCGCTAATAGTGGTGTCGTTTCTCCAATAGACACCACTTCACAGCGAGGTGCCAGTACTTCTGTCGGCACGTCGCAGGAAGAGCGGGACCGCAATGTGTTGCGTCTCGCTCCAGAAAAGAAGGCATGGATGCCTCCTAAATCTGTCATGGATCACTTGTCGGCGACGACGAGTGATCGTTATCGAACACGATTGTTCGATTCGTCGAGGATTCATCACCTTGACCCCAGCGCGAAAGACTATCGCGCTGAACATGAGTTCTTCATCGATGCTTTCTTCAGACATCGATGGTACAGTGGGAATCACAAACGTGATGGTCCCTCACTACTTCAGGCGTGGAACGCCTACATCCATAATCTCGAGGATGTAGGTCGTGACGCTTGGAACGACAAACTTATCAAAGCTCGTGATAAGTTTGAAAAGCGAACCCCGACAGGTGCACGCTACAAGCTGCATCGTCTGTCAAGGGAGAAAGGATTACCCTGCCTTTCTTGGGGAGACTCGTGCCCATGTTGTGTGAACAACTCTGCACGAGCACCTAAGGAGGCTTACCTCCTTACCAGCCCGTGGTGGCGCGTACGTGTCTCTACTGAGATGTACGAAGGGATTGACAACCTGAAATCCCTTTACGACCGTGCCGGGAAGACTTTCTCCGGCGGTCCTTCTGCGGCACAGGATGTGTCGCGTCGTACTGCTCGACCAGACCCAGTACGTCAACCATCAATTGGGAGCGGGGCTCCCAAGAATCCCAGGACGGGGGATAGCCGCGCCACCGGACGAGGTAACTCGTCCGACGTCCGTTCACGTCGCGGTGGTTCAACAGCTGCTCTACTAGATAGCGCTGGCCACCGCGAGAGTCCTCTAATGGAGGTAGAGGAGGAGGAAAGACGCTCTCCACACGATCATGTGGATCGGTGTGTTCCCGAGAGCTTCTTTGATTGCGTAACGCAAGGGTTACGCGACGATCTCGAGCATGAGCGGAATAGGCGTCTCCAGATGGTGGACACTGCCTCGAAGCATCGAGCTGAGTTTGCCTTTGCTCAGCTTGAGAACGAGAGATCTCTGACATCTCTTCGTGACGAGCTAAGGGTAGCTCGTGGGATTGTTGATCGGTCTCGGGCTGAGATAACTGCTCTTCAGACCCTTGTTGATGCCCACCATCGGGAGCACAAGGCTCTCTGCGAGATGCTTGAGCGCAAGGGCGTTCTTCATCGGAAGAAGCAGCGTACTGATGGTACGGCTTAAGCCGACCAACGTAAAACGTGGGATGCGTTCGCATCTTACGTGGTAACTCGATCGTGTATGCATTGCCTAGGCGGTGCAATACACGAAATGGGCCAATGTACTTGGGTAGCAGTAAACTACTACCCAAGTTAGTCACTACATGTTTTGGTAGATTAACCGTAGACAGTAGGACTAAGTCACCTTTATTAAATAAAAGAGTGTTTGCCCTTCCATTCTTGTCAGCGTTTTGCTTTTGCTTATCCACCGCTTCGGCGATGGAGTCTTGCACAAAACGGACTACCGTTTCACGAGCCAGTATGAACTCATCTGATGACTCGTTAGCTTCAGTGTGCTGTGAGCGCACTGCAGCAACACCAACCTTTTCTTCAGTGAGGGCTTCCGCACTCTCACTGGGATCATTGTCTTCAGTGAGGGCTTCCGCACTCTCACTGGCATCATCTTCTTCGATATCGATGTTATCGATATCGGCATCAAACGCAATGACTTCTTCGTCAGAGCGTGATGAGCGTGAACCAAATCGGTTTTTGCTCGCGCGAGTCCCTCCCTCCCTTAAACCAGAGTTACACTCTAGTAAGGTGGGTACACGCGGATGGCGCAAGCCATTCACGTAAAACGGTGTATGTGTCGTGGACGCATGCACCGAGTTGTTGATGGCAAACTCTACCATCGGCAAAAACTCACTCCAACTCTCAAAGGAGTGTACGTATCCTCGAAGTATCTCTTCAAGGACACGATTGGCACGTTCCGTCTGACCATCTGACTCTGGATGATCAGATGTTGACATCTTCAAGCGCGTTCCGAGTGATTTGCACGGAACGCCAGAAATCAGCAGTGACGCGTAGATCTCTGTCTAATACGAGCTCACGGGGCAACCCATGAAGTCGGAAGATGGTGTCAATAAAGACACAAGCACAGCCACTTGCCGTGATTGTCTCTGGTACAGCCACAAGGTGTACCGTTTTGCTGAATCTGTCAACAAATACGAGAATACCCGTATTCCCGCGTGCGTCTTTGGGTAACCCGAAGACGAAATCCATTGAGATGGATTCCCAGCACTCAGCCGGAACCGGTAGAGGCTGTAAAGGTGCACGCAGTGAAGGACTTGACTTCACTCGTTGGCAGACTTCGCATGCGCGAACATACTTTCGCACAAACTGATACTGGCGGGGCCAGTAAAAGTCTCGACTTACCGTGAGATATGTTTTCTCTCGGCCACGATGTCCTCCTATAGGAGCATCGTGATACTCGAACATGATCCGCAAACGCAGATCAATATCATCTGGAATGACAACACGTGGTGTGTCACCAGAAACGGCTGTATAGTACAGTAAACCGTTACGAGTAGTGTATCGATCTGATGCAGATCGATACGCAGACGACAATCGTTTCAACGATTCTCGAGATGGTTGGGAGAGATGTGACAACAACTTCACTATCTCACCATCTTGGGCGTATGCCCGCCTCACATCATCATACAACGTTGTAGATGGAACTGAGGACGTCATAACCGCAACAGTGACTGTCTCACTGTTGGGTTTCACGACTGGTTCAAAGTCGGGACGACGTGAGAGTGCATCAGCGACGACATTAAGTCGTCCTGGTTTGTACTCGACCGTAAAGTTGTATTCTGCAAAGAATGACAACCACCGCGCCATTCGTTGTGAAAGGTGCGGGCTGTTCACTGCCGTGCGTAAGGACGCATGGTCAGTGTAAACAACGAAGGGTCTATCTCCTAATAGATAGACTCTGAACTTCGCGAGTGCATACTTCATGGCAAGGAGTTCCTTGTCATGCACTGGATAGTTCCGCTCAGCTGGTTGCAGCTGACGCGACTGATAGCAGACGACGCGTTCAACGCCTTCAAGGTCGTACTGCATTTATGCACAGCCGATTGCGAAATCGCTGGCATCACAGACCACATGAAATGGCCTGTCCTGATCGGCTATTGCTAGGACTGGGGATTGTATCAAGCTCTGCTTGATACCCTCAAAGGAGCGTTGACATTCAGCGTTCCATAACCACCTCTCGTTCTTTTTCAACAAACGAGAGAGGTGTACAGTCATCTCGGCGTAATTGCGTGAATACTTATGCAAATACGCCGCTAGCCCAAGGAATTTTCGAAGACCTTTGACATCGACCGGCACGGGCCAGTCGGTGATCGCCTTGATCTTTTCGGGATCAGGACGTACACCGTTCTTACCAACGATGCACCCAAGAAGTGGTATTTCGCTTGCTGCAAATATACACTTCTTGAGGTTTGCATACAATTGATGCTTTCGCATGATTGTAAGAACTTGTCGGACGTGGTACTTGTGAACCTCAACGTCCGACTTTCCATCCATAGCTCGACTATGGATGAATACGTCATCGAAATAACTCGGCGCGAATTCTCGTACTGGCCTCAACAGATGTGATACACACCTGTTGAACGTGGCAGGGGCATTACTGAGCCCTTGTGGCATTACTAGCCATTCCCAGAGCATGCCGCTAGGCGTGCTAACTGCGGTATAGGGTATATCCCGTTCCCGCATTAGGATTTGATAGAAGCCATCCATCAAATCCATGGACGAAAAGATGGTACTCTTTGACATACCATCAATGATTACGTCCTTCCTCGGTATCGGCGTCTGAGCCGGTACCGTTGCAGCGTTCAATTTGTTAAACGCGTGCACTATCCGCCACCCTCCTGTTGCTTTTCGCACACAGAAGGTCGGAGAGCTATGTGGGGAAGTTGATCTCCTCACATGGCCCGCAGCTAAACGATCGGCAAAGAACTTGTCGATCGCAAGTACTTGTTCACGAGGCAGTGGCCACTGCTTCATGACACATTACTTCGAGCCTGGTTTAAGCTCGACCTCGTGTCGAATACCTTTATCCTTCGGTAATTCGCACGGAACAGTTTCAGGGAATACATCCTTGAATTCAACCAAATCTTCATAGAGAGGATTTTCCTTGAGCGATTCCCATGATTGGGACTCATATCGCTCAATTCGTGTCTTTTCATCTAGGACACTCTCGTCCATAGATGAACTACTGAGAACTCTCTCGTTCTCAGTAAACACTGTTGCTGACCTTATGTCGGTTACATACTCGTCTTCAGCGACGAGTATGCAGATCTGCTTGACTTTGCCACTACGCAGATCACGCAAGAATCTTTTTATGTTCGAGCGTTGGCAACTGAGTGATCTCCGAAGTTAACTTCGGAGGCGCAATCAGATCAAGTGTATAAGCGCCTACACATGATCCGTTATTGACTATGACATTCAATGTCTCTGTCATTTCCTGGGGACTTATTCCCTCAGGCTTCGAAGGACTTATTCCTTCGTCTTCCCGGGGACTTATTCCCGCGGGTTTCGGGGAACTTATTTCCGCCGTATTTGTAATCTTGGGACTTATTCCCTTTACTTCCTCTAGCTGGGGTTGCGCAACCACAGCGAGATCCTCTACGAAAGACTCTCCAGTCGATCTAGGATTATCGTTTCGCTTAACCTGAGCGATCGATTGTTTCTCTTCTAGATGTTCCCCTCTAGGGATACATCTTTGTCCCAGTCCACCCGACTTATTCGAGTGGTGGACCTTCGGCGCAGCCTGTGTTTCCTCACAGCCGCCGGAACTTTGCTCCGAAGTGTTACCGTTTGGTACACTAAGGTTTTGTGCAGTCGTACTAACGACCGTACCACAAGTGAGGCCATCGCACTCACTCGTAGTACATCCACACGCTTGTGGACGCTCCAAAACGTTCATCAGATGGCCATCTGATGAACAAGCGGCAGGCATCGTTACTGTCCGATGTTGCCAGTTTACCCGTGGTTCGTACCTTCTGAGCCACGGTATTCCAAGGATGACATCAAATTTGTCATCCAAATCCAATACGATAAAGTCATCGTCATATTGGGTATCTTCTAGCGTATAGTGAATCTTCACTATACGCTTCATGACGGTTACGGATGCGCCTGTCGCAAGACGTACCGTCATCCTCGTAGGAGGTGTGTCACATTCACTGAATTTAAAGTGACCATCTTCTAGTGATTGGCGTCGCACAAAATTGTTGGACGCCCCACAATCGACTAGAGCTCGAAGGGACAACTTATTCGTCACTTCGAGTTTCAAGGTAATGAGTGAGATCTCATTACCTAGAGCAGCAACGCACAATGTCTGTGTGTTGGGAGCAACCTTCATCAAGAGGCCTACAAATTCTCTTGACGTTGCTGGATCAGTAGGGTGCTCCGCACCTACTGATCCTGTCCGTTTTTTGACGGTCCATCCCGTTGTTGCGTCTTTGCACCAATTGGGACCCTCGTCCCTGCCCCTTTCTCATGGGTGGAAGGTCACTACGCCCAGTGTCGCGAGACACTGGACGAGGGGCACTACACTCGTAAGCGTAGTGTCCTGTCTTTTGACATCTGTTGCATCTCTGCAACTTCTTGTAGCCTGTAGAGCGAGCCTTCTCGCTCTCTACATAACAGAGTTCCATCGGCTCTGGACCTCCGTTGTCATATCGTCTCGGTTGACGATATGATGTCGAGCTGGCGCGAGCCTGTCTCAGACTGAAGTCTTCCTGCTCCGCAATGGAAATGGCTTGTTCTAGTGAATCTAGTTCAAGCCGGAACAGGTGAGTCTTGACGGGACCATCCGCAAGACCCTGCATGAACACCGAAACCAACGTGTGTTCATCCACCGGATTGCAACTTAAACAACTCGTGAGATGTCGTATGTGTTGAGCGTAAGCGTGCACATCACGCTTACCCTGCTTGAGCTTCAAGAGTTCGGTTCGAGCTCTGAACTCAGCTCTAGGCGGTTCAAACGTTTGTCTGAGCCGCGACTTGAAGACTTCCAACGACCCAAACGCATATGGGTCGTGCAACTTGAGCCCCAGTGCCCAAGTCTTGGCACGTCCTGCCAGATTTGACTGGGCAAATGCAACTTGCATATCCCCGTCGTCGATGCGACGCGCCCTTATGGCGTCATCCAATTCGACGAACCATCTCAAGAGGGAGTCTTCTTCGACCCCCTATACTTTGAGATGTCAATCTTCAAAGTCTCGGGCCGACGCGAGTGCATCGACCCGCCAGCAGCAGCCTGCTGCTGTCTCAACAGTTCAAACTGTTGAGCACCTTGTTCTCTCAACAACTCTGCTTGTTGAGAACCTTGTTGGTGAAGCAAGGCTACTTTCTCGCGTTCTGCGTCAAGTTCATTTTGAATGAACTTGGCGATAGTAGCATGTTGGGCATCTCTATTGAGAGCCTCTAGCATGACGCTAACAGCATGGATGCCCATGGTCGAACCCATTCGTTCAACCGCATCCCATTCGACATCGCTCAAATGGGAGTAGCCGTCACGCGTAGCGTGAAAGCTTTGGTCATCTTCATCATCCAACATATTCATGTTGGATGTGAACGCGGTCCTTGGACGGACTACAAAGTGCTACCAGGTGTAACGGGGCACCCTGAAGCTTGTACTGGTGACAGTACAAGCTACTTATTCTGATAACAGAATAAGGCGGTGCCTCGTAACTTCACGTACACTCGTACGTGCAGAGGAAGACGGTAAGAAGAAGCGAGTACTCGGTTAGAGTAAAAAAGTAGAACTGTATTTATAATAGTTAATGTCTGCAATAAATCACTATTTATCTTCATCTAACTATGTCTAAATACAAATGTGTAAATCAGTTATCTGCTCACCACTCATTGCGTGCGTCTGTCGTGGCGCGTCTTCGTTGGTTGATATAATGGCCTATATCAACCAATTAGGAACTACTTGGAAGTGCTACAGAATATTGTCCTT